AAGCTACTATGGTCTTAGAAAAGTACAATCAAAGCTGCTATAGTCTTAGAAAAGTACAATCAAAGCTACCGTGGTCTTAGAAAAGTACAATCAAAGCTACGATGGTCTTAGAAAAGTACAATCAAAGCTACTATAGTCTTAGAAAAGTACAATCAAAGCTACTATAGTCTTAGAAAAGTACAATCAAAGCTACTATAGTCTTAGAAAAGTACAATCAAAGCTACTATGGTCTTAGAAAAGTACAATCAAAGCTACTATGGTCTTAGAAAAGTACAATCAAAGCTACTATGGTCTTAGAAAAGTACAATCAAAGCTACTATAGTCTTAGAAAAGTACAATCAAAGCTACTATAGTCTTAGAAAAGTACAATCAAAGCTACTATGGTCTTAGAAAAGTACAATCAAAGCTACTATGGTCTTAGAAAAGTACAATCAAAGCTACTATGGTCTTAGAAAAGTACAATCAAAGCTACTATGGTCTTAGAAAAGTACAATCAAAGCTACCGTGGTCTTAGAAAAGTAGAATTAAAGCAGCCAAAATTCATGCACAAAAAATAGATAAGAAAGATGACACATGTTTCCTTTAAGAACAATAAAGTGTTTCATTGTTAGCCATCCCTGACATACATGATTGAAATAAAATAACTAAGAATAACATGATGCAATTAAATGGACCAAATATTAGGTCTTCAGATTAGTGTGCCATCTCAGAATTATTTAAACTTCTAATACTAATATTAAAAACAAAACAAAAACTGGAGAGCACTTACTGAAGGATGGAAAACATTGTATGATTTTTTAGCTAATTCTCCTTGCTGTTTACACCCGAATACCAGATCTATCCATTGATGCAGACGTTGACTAACATAGGATGATTCTAGAGCTTGTCTGTTGATCAACACAAATAATCTGGCGTTATTCTTACACCATGGTGGTAATAATACATCATTCACTACTTGACCATTCTGACGACATCCAAAATCAAATCCTGAAAATATGAGTAGAATTTCGATATTTTAATGTTGCTTGCTTTGAGTTCACATTGTAGATAGTCCTTCAAAACCATTACACATAATTGAAATAAAATGAAGTTTACTCTTTTGAACGTGAATAGGCTCATGAAATCAGACAAAGCCATGAATGTGCAATGATCTAAATTTTGATTTGATTCTTTTCCATGTCAGACCCTCTGACCTGCATCACTTACAGGTGGAAACTGGGATATTATCTTAACCTATACAGGGATTGTTCCATTGCTTCTGGTTAGCAAACAAGCATCTAACTCACTGAGCTAACATTACTCCCTTGAATTTAAACTAAAAACTCAACTTACCTTCATTATTTTGTAAGAACTGGTAAAAAGAAGAATTCAGGAATCAGTTCTTTAACATCAGTCTGAGATTCGTAACTTGACAACCTCCAGGAAGTCTGTATAGAATGGAATGTTCTGTCTGGTATATCAAAACTACCATCTACAAAATAAAATAGATCATTTCGGCATTAAAGCTACCATGTTCTTATAAAGTAGAGTCAAGTCTTCAATGTTCTTAAAAAAATAAAGATTTAATCTTCCATAATGTATTGTAAAAAAAGAGGATCAAATCTAATTGTTTATCCATTTTATTTGTAAACCTGGAACTAGATCTTCCTGGTATCAAAGTGAGATTCAAGCTACCATGGTCTCATAAAATTATACTCAATGCTACCATAGTCTTATAAAATAGTATTAAAGCTACCATGTATCATATTATCAAATATTTAAACCCACCTTGATAAGAAAGAAACATCTGAGTAAAGGGAGGTAAGCGAACAAGATAATGTAGAACAGTACCACTATTAGAGTAATGGCTGCCATAATGATAGGGTGGAACTCGAATCAAATGTTCTATTTCTAAATTCTTATCATACTCTTGTTGTAGAAACTGAAATAAAAGTGCTTGTTTAATTCAATGTATAACATACCATACTGATTTGTCCATATTCATCTGAGATTTGAAACTTGAAATACTTTTTATACTACTTTATTAATATGTAGAGGAAGATACTCTTAACTTTATGAAAGTTTCATCTTAAAAAATCCAATCATTAAGTCACAAACAACGACATAAACGGTACAAATGGCACTCGCTTCCTATTAACAGATCCTGTTTCTCAATTATTCTAAAGACCTGCCCTTGAGCTCAATTTAAGAAACCCATATCCTATGAAAATCTGACACCAGAAATCAAATTTAAACCTTGCAATGTCTATTAAATATACCAACCTCATAATTATCCCCATATCTCTTCTCTCGTGATTTATCTTGTACTGCTATAGGTTTACTTAAATCTCTGGAACAATATATCAAAAATACATAGGAAGGTGTCTGGAGGAACTTAGCCTAAGGGTGCATACAAAACATGCATCTAACCTAGTTACCAAAATCAGATCATGAACTTAGTTGACCTCCGCGTAAGAGAAGTGGCTTTAACCAAACTACTTATAGCATCGATTTGCACAATGACAATTTTGAGTCAGAAGTCTGTAGTTCTTGCAATTCCACTCAAACGAGGAGATTTATGACCTCACAGACGAAAAGGCCCTTAGATAACATAAGCAGCGATAATGACTTTTAAAAAGCTTAGTTTACTGTATATTTCCGAATATAATCCACACCCCTTCCATTACCCATCAAAATCTGGAAAAATCCATTTACCCGTATATAATGTGCACCCCTTGTTGAGGTTGGAGCTGGCATAAGACAGACACCAAAATAGTGAGTGATAACAAGACATATTCCATGTATCACCTTACTTAGACTAACATGAAAATTTTGTGCAATATTTCTTTTATTTTTTGTAAAAGTGGAATATCAACAACCACAGACATCTGATGGAAAATATGAATGATGGTAATTGATTCTATCAGTGTCCCCGATACACATAAAAGTTTAGAAAACATCTTTATCATCCCAATTTCTTACCTATAAACAGCTTGATCTTCCAAATCTAAGACGTCACTCTCATACTCCCTCAAGATGAAAGGAAAGACTGGATATTGCATCAGATCACTGAAAGAACGTCCAGCCATTTTGTTGAGATAGATCAAATAGTCATAGTTTGACAATAGACCATCAATCCACATCTTTCTGACGTCCTCTAGATTTTCTGTATCTTTCAAGTTAGGTAACTCTAATGATAGTAAGAAATCGTATAGCTGATCTCGTTCCTGCAAAACAAAACAAAATAAATTTAGATTTTTGGAATTTTTATACAGTGGAAGCTATCATGGATTGGTGACCAACACAGTTTTTTTTCTATGTGACAATTCTCAAGTCCTTTGTAGTAATATACTTGGTTCTTTGATCTCGTTCTAAAAAAAACCCCAAAAAGACAGTGCCATTCTCATATAATGATTTGTCAAGGTCACTCTCTTTGACCTGCATGACCCCAAAAGGAAACTAGGTTGACAAATCTACAAGAGTAACATAAGGGTTAACCCTTTCAACCCTAGCCGTTGCTAAGTGACGTCATACAACGTTAACTTTATACGCTTTTACTTTCATTACTTGGAGTTCAGGGTATATGACGTGAAAAAATTTCTGATTTGAATAAGATGTAAAATTCCTCTCTGATCTCATGACATGGATGTATTTATAAAGTTGATACTTACAGCTGGGTTAATGAACGCCAATAAACATGTTTTACCATTAGTTAAAAATATTTCTAAACCCACATCTTGTAGCTGATACCAACGTTTGTGTAATTCACGTATATTAACATGAGGCCACGTCATGGACAGTTCATCTTTATTTCCTAACAATACCTATAAAATAAAGCGTGTGAAGACTCTAGATTCTGGAAACATTGGAATTGGCATAAAATATATGTCACATCATTTGATATATCAATGTATTCAAAGACCCAAAATTTATTTTCATTTAAATATTGGTTACTTATTTTATCAGAAAATTGACAACATTTTTTTTGAAGGGCAATCTCCAATGTTCAAAATTTATGAATGATCCAAATATGCTCCTTATTTTTATCTTTTCATATTCATTGTCTTGAAATATCTTTTAAACTAGTGATCTATGATTGTTCAATGTACAAGATATATCAATAAATTACGTGACAAGAGCTGATATCATGCTGTAGACATGTTTCAAATAACCAATCCCCATCAGGACAGCTAGCGTTAGACTTTTATTTCAGCTTACCTGTGTATAATTAGCATCACCGATTGCTTCATCACTGACAAAAAATATACACAATTCTCCTGAAATATTCATATTTAATAAAATAACTTGTAATATATATTGAATAAATCATCTCTTTTATTTATTTCAATGACCTTACTATTTATTTGAAATAACAAAACAAGGATGGCTGTGGTTTTCGTCTCTATAAATAGACTTTGTCTTCCTTTTTAGCCTCAAGTGCTGGTAAGAGAATTAAATCTACTCACCAACTAATAAATCACCTTTACTTTCTGTAGCAGGAGACACGGCCGTACATCTACAGGTATGTCTACAATATATAAACAATTACAAATATTACAAACAATTACAAATAAGTACAAAATCAAAATGAATACAAAAATACCGAGGTGTTTTAAATTGGTGACAAATGTCTCCAAGCCCATGTGACAACAATCTATTGAATTTTAATAAACTTACGTGATTTTTTCGTTGGTGTAGAGTCGGTAAATCAGAGCTGCTGAGTCTGAGGAGGAATGGTCATCTTCAAATAAAAACTTTAATGGTGGATCATGTTCTTCTTTTTCTACAAGTAAAACCCCAAATAGTTAAGCAGTATATAGTAACATTTCTCCATACACAGTGTGGGCAATGAGGGATGAGACTACCTGATGCAGTTCGAGGGGCAAGGGAGGTAATCAGCCCTTTGACTGATTACCAACAAAATATTTATTTTTCTCTTTGAATTCATTGAAAATTTAATAGCCTAATAGCATAGCCTTTGTGAAAATTGAATACAGGTAGAGTAAGGGCAAGGAACAAGCTGGAAGAGCAAAGTTGTGCATTAGGGTGGGTGCCCTAGAAAACCACTAATAAGAAAGCCCAGAGCTGCTCAGTCTACCCCTGTTACAAATAATATTTGAAATAAAGTGATTTACCTAAAGTGACTTTATTTTCAGGAGTGAGGAATTTATCTTGAATACCGAGATGATTTCTCTGAACTCGTTTTCTCATTCTACCTGGTCCTTCTGTATGATCTAACTGCCATGATATAGGGTAGGATTCTTCATGATACCATACAGCTCTGAAAGATTATATAGACATATTCAGATAATAAGGTAAAGTGACTGCGTCACAAGTCACAAAAACCTGTCAGGCAGTCAATTTACCTTATTTAAGGTAATTCTTTATTTTGTATCACTTTAAGAAGCAAAGTTCAATAAACAGGTTTCTGTTTGATTGGTATCTAGAATTGGAACAGATTGATCCTGCTCAGAACTCACCAACTAAGCGTCATCCATTATGGTGGTCCTCATTAACTGGAGTGCAAGCTTATGGCCTTCTTCTTCTTTATGACGATTTTTTGATGCAGTTTTGTCTGTTTTTAAAAAAAATTAATTACCTTTCATGAGTAAGATTCTGAACAAGTTCTTGCCAAGCTTTCTTAATCTGAATTCCTTCAGTCATACTCTTTTTAATATGATTGATCAGTTTTTTACGCTGTAGATTCTGTAACTGGGTCACATTCTGGGTCACGGTCATAGCTTGGTCTGATATCTGGCTTTCTAATTTATCAAATCTTGATAACATTCTACAAAAAAATAACAAAAATATTTCAATACATGAGACAGACTGCTACTTTCAGACTCTTAGAGATTTAATATTCCATACTGGACAGGTTTGATACTGTACTACATGTGAATTTCCAGTCAAATAAAGACATTAGAAATTGTATAGTAAGAATGGTGGTTTACACAAATAACAACAACACAAAAGTAACCAGCCCAAACAGGGGAGATAAATAATCCATAATCAGAATAGACAGGTATGAAACTGTGAATGTAAATTGCCAGTCCGAAATTAATCGCACTTTGGAGAAAACTTTTCAAATAAAGACATTAGAAATCGTATAGTAAGAATGGTGGTTTACACAAATAACAACAACACAAAAGTAACCAGCCCAAACAGGGGAGATAAATAATCCATAATCATAATAGACAGGTATGAAACTGTGAATGTAAATTGCCAGTCCGAAATTAATCGCACTTTGGAGAAAACTTTTCAAATAAAGACATTAGAAATCGTATAGTAAGAATGGTGGTTTACACAAATAACAACAACACAAAAGTAACCAGCCCAAACAGGGGAGATAAATAATCCATAATCATAATAGACAGGTATGAAACTGTGAATGTAAATTGCCAGTCCGAAATTAATCGCACTTTGGAGAAAACTTTTCAAATAAAGACATTAGAAATCGTATAGTAAGAATGGTGGTTTACACAAATAACAACAACACAAAAGTAACCAGCCCAAACAGGGGAGATAAATAATCCATAATCATAATAGACAGGTATGAAACTGTGAATGTAAATTGCCAGTCCGAAATTAATCGCACTTTGGAGAAAACTTTTCAAATAAAGACATTAGAAATCGTATAGTAAGAATGGTGGTTTACACAAATAACAACAACACAAAAGTTACCAGCCCAAGCAAAGGGAGGTAAATAATCTATAATCCATAATTGACAGGTTTGAAACTGTATTAAATGTGAATTATGAGTCAATAATTACTCACACTTAAGAGAAAACTCTTCTAATAAATATATTCGAAATTATATCTAGTAAGAATGGTGGTTTAGGCAAATAACAACAACACGAAGAGATACCAGCCCTTACAAGGAAGGTAAATGATCAAAAACAGTTCTTACACAATTGAAATTGCAAATGTAAGTTCAAGTATTCAAGTACATATTTAATCTTCTATATATAATTACCTAGCAGCACCAGATTCCCGTTTCTGTGTCCAGATTTTCTTTTCTTTTTCATACTGGTTATCAATAGACTTCTTATCCTAAAAATATTTCAAATATCTGTGAGATATATCATATATATTTATACCATACAAACCATTAGGCTGCACATTGGGAATCCTTCATACAACAGTCAGGATATTGCACACTTAAAAGGTGCAGGCACACGAGCCGTCTTGGTCGGAGATTTTTGTCACTGATTTGAGTCTTGAGTAAAATTTTGCAAGTGCCCATGCTTCCACCAACAGATTATAATATCAAAGTTTTATCGTCTTCAAGACAGACCATCATCATCCTATCAGATTCATTCAGACCGCTCACTCACTCGCTCGCACCACTAACAACACTAATTAATCTTGTTATTTTGTTCATACCTCATACAGGGCATTGTCCATCTCCTGACTGAGTTTAGCTTCTGGTGAATAGATCGCACAACCGAACATTCGCAAAACATTGACAGCTAAATAACCATGTTCTCGTTGTGACTTGGTTAACCAGTCATGCCATGTTGAGAGTAAATCATACAGAGAATAGCAGACTTCTGTTGACTGTAATAGAGATAAGGTCATTGACATGACGAACATATCCTTTAAACTGGATGGTGGATATGAAATTTATCTTGTTCTCATGCAAACTTTGGCGGTGAAACACAATCTTCTACAAAGGGAAGTTATGAATGCTCTAAACCAATGAAAAGACAGATATCATTTTATTCATATAACTACCTACCACTTGAGGATTAGAAACAAGAAGTTTTAATATTTCTCTCCCTTTCGGTTCACCCATCACATACGACATGACATACACTCTCTGATCAAACTCCATTTTAGGTGACAACAGACAAGTTAGCAGACGTCCCAGCTGGAAAATATACAAAACATCAATGGTGTAATTTCCACCCAGTTGTGTTTTTTTAAAAAGTATTATTAAATGATTCATCATATCAACGTCCTTTAACATAGAAGACAGAAAAAGTTGAAAAAAAATACTCGTTTGATTTGTGATGTTAATGTGTGTAGACAAGTTAGCAGACTAGCTGGAATATATACAAAATATCAATGGTGCTGTAATATACACCAATGGATGTGTTCTGTTTTTTAAAACATTAATAAATCCAGTCCACCCAGCTATAAATGGGTATGGATAATCTGGTCAGCTGATAGAATAGATCCACATGAAGTCCTAAGTTGTTATTCTTTCTTTATATTTACCTGAATTCTAACAACATCTTTCGCTCCCCACATTATTACATTCTTACTTCTTCTACCAAATACTGTCTTCTCCTGATAAAAACACAATCAGATATATACACATTAATTTTAGATACATCTGACTACAACAAGGAACATTCCAAAATACTGAATAAAACATGGGCCACGTATGTTGTTTTGAGAAGATTTGAAAGACAACAAGGCAACATATCAAGACAATTGGAGTAATAATGGTTGTTCAACATATTATAAGTCTGTATAAAGTATTGAAGTGTGGACTTTAAAAGGGTTGAGAGTTGACAATAGGTGTAGCCTGAAAGTACTGGCCATGGCATCAATTGCAAAGAAAATCAAACCAATCTTATAAATACAAATCTACATATTTCCATCCAGAAATGGACAGACAACTACATTCATTAAAGACCAGTTTTCAGTTTTGAAATGTTCTATTATTCTACACAAGAAGCGAAATTTGTGTTTACATACCAGTGTCATCTCCAAGGCTTTAAAAGCAAAGTTAAAAATCAGGAGTAGAAACTGATCTTCAGGTGATTTGACTTGACGACCACTGGTAAATGAAAACATCACTGATCTTTCAGCTTCTGGCTTTACAACATCAGAACGATCTATAAAAAAAATAAAAGATGGAAAATTTTCAGAATTACAATGCAATATGATAAGTCTAATTATTAATTAGACACAATACGTTTTTGTAAACAAATATTTATTTCACGAAAAATGGATTAGGGAACAGTCTTGTATATATATGACCATTTTTTTTATAGAAACTATGTTGACAACATTCATTTTAGAATTTAAAGCAAGGCACAATAGTCATAAATGAATTTGTTACTAATTTTGGACTTATTTTGGCACAAATACTAGTAAAAAGTGCCATTCGGCCACAATCACATTGTTATCCATTGAATTTTATCAGTGGGTCATCAGCTTAATGTTCAAAATGGACAGGCTAACATTTTTCAAATTGTGAAATAAGAACTGGTACAAAAACCTACCACAGAACACAATCAAATCAGTTGCCAACACAAAAATCTTCTTGAATCTTTCCAACAGTTCAGTTTGACTGATAGACGTAAAGACCAATTTCTTACGTCTGCCACTAAAGAATGTCAATTTGCTTGACGATGACATTTTCCCGCTTCCATCATTTGACAGCCATCTTGAAAGTTTCCGATAATCAATGGAACTATCACTGTCCCCGGAAACATATCCGGAGGCGGAAAGAGTTTTATCCTCGTAAGGATTATCTGTAAGATTACATGAGAATGTAGGTGGCGTTAGGGAACGTGCTTGTGATGTTTCGAGAAGGGAGGTTTCGGAGAGTTGTGGAAGATGCAAGCTGGCGTTAAAGGAGTATTCGGTAAATGAGTAGCCAGGACGATGATGAATATAAGCAGGACATCGCAGGGTAGTTTTGCCTGGAAAATATAGGATGGAAATCAAAATAACAAAATATTTTCAATATTAATAGTGCTCAATACATCAATTATAGAGTGATATAGAAATACCACGGTTAAAATAGTGCTCAATACATCAATTATAGAGTGATATAGAAATACCACGGTTAAAATAGTGCTCAATACATCAATTATAGAGTGATATAGAAATACCACGGTTAAAATAGTGCTCAATACATCAATTGTAGAGTGATATAGAAATACCACTGTTAAAATAGTACTCAATACATCAATTGTAGAGTGATATAGAAATACCACGGTTAAAATAGTGCTCAATACATCAATTATAGAGTGATATAGAAATACCAAGGTTAAAATAGTACTCAATACATCAATTGTAGAGTGATATAGAAACATCTAAACAGAACCTGAAACATGTTACTCAGAATTTCATGCTTTGCAATCTTCAGACAACTGACCTATTTCAGTCTGTGTCCCCCTACTGAAGTTTGACAAGTAGAGATCTGATCTATTTCAGCCCGCTTGCCATCTGAAGTTTGATAAGTAGTACTTGTTCTTGTGTCTGCAACTCAAGACGAATTCAGATAAAGGAGAGCTTTTCTTTTAAACACAAAAAGACAAAAATATGCTTTTCTACAAAGGTGACAAAAACTGCTGAAAAAGGGGTCATTAAAACGATTATTACAATTTGACTTTGACCAGAAAATTGTGAAGGAAAATATAAAAGGTATATTACCATATCCAGCTTGGTTAGCCGAGCTAGTATTGGTACTAGAGAACCAGCCGACTGATTGGTTGCTGATGTCCTCACTAGCGCCCTCACAGTACTCTAGTATATTGGTTAGCATGGCAACCTGTATACCTTGTACTATATCTGGCCCCTTTAAACGTTTACCTGGAAATTATATCAGAGACTGGTAATAAATGTTTAATTATTCAAAAATATGCAATTACTATAAGCTATTATATATAAATAGAAAACAGATATTTTCTTATCAGGGCACTAATTGCAAAATTCTAAAAAACAAAATTCCATATACTTATTTTAAAAAAACAGGAAAAGTGGGGGTACCCAAGTTCAGATTGTATCATTGATTCCGTGGGGTTGGATAGTTTTCAATCTAATAATCCAGTGAAGTTCAATGGAGCGTCTATTAGTAGTAGATTGTGAAAGGTCCGGGTTGGTACCTAGTTGTTTGAGATTTGGTAGTCGAGATTTCGTCTGGAGTGACTCGGTAGGTAGAAGTGAGAGGCGAGAGGAGTATCTCTCTTGTGATGGATATCAGCAAAAGGTAAATTCTGACGGGGTCGATAATTATCCAACCCCGGCAACCCCACCAAAAAACCTAAACCCCTGTAAAATTCTACTGGGGTCGAACAATATACGAGACAGACCCTGCCCAGTAAGAATTTATTAGTCTGAAGAGTTGAAATCTGAACGAAACTAGTTACTGAAAATCAGGGATAACTTGTCAGCCAATTTTATCTCCTCTATATTTATTTTAAGTTATTATTTTGTGAAAATGTATCAATATTGTAAGGCATGGGAGTAATTATATTCCTAATAGGCTCAATACTTTGTAGACAACTTCAAACTTCCTATGTGTCTTTAAACATCCAAACAAACTGAAGTAGCCCAATAATAAAATGATGATAAAAGTTACTCACTGCTGGATATTTCAGTTTTCTCTAGAGTGTGTAAAATATTAAATATATCTTCTAATTGTTGATAATGTACCACTGAGCTCCAACTGTAATGATCAAACACGTTTTTAATCAATAATATTATAGGCCGTGGCTATTCGTACCGCGACGGTACAAAAATGGGCATTTAAAAAACATGGCCATCCCTACCTAACCCTAACAAAGTCACTTAATATCATTCTTGACAATCAAAATGGATTAACGCTTAAAATAAAAAAACAACAAGCTTGCCTTTTGTGTCATATCTTATCCAGCCATAGAGAACATGCATTGTAACAGTGCAAATAGCCAGTGCGAATATTAAATTGAGGAATCTACTTATTTTGAGTCTGTGAATCCAGAAGTCTGCACAGAAGAGAAATAAAGAAGAAAGATATCAGACAATAAAGGGAGTTAACTATGATTTACCTGAATTCTCTGACAGCTATAGCACAAAAGATATTCTGAACATCACTGTATAGAATCTGGTTTTCTTCAATACCATCTATATCAGTATGTCTGTAATAAACAAATTCAAACTTTATTTCGAGATCACAAACTTTGACCAATTGCTCTACTCAGCACTTCTCTGCCAAACTTTAGGACGGCTTTAGTTTTTCCATCTTCAACTGAGAAGCTTTCACTCAACCAATTGAAATTTGATAATAACTTTTCATCTAGCAAAAAATAGATGCTAAATATTCTATATATTGACCTATGCATCACATGTTAGACAGTCACTAAATAAAAAATAACAAACGAGCAACAAGGGAGGTAATTCGGCTTCAATCAAGGGACTATGGGTCTGCTACCTGAAGAGTGAAATGACAGATTCATTTCAGAGACTTGTGTCCCTTCAGAGTTGGAGATGTGTTGCAGATATTAAAATTCGACCATTCAAATTGTATAGCATATTAAAAGATGTTGAAACTTGAAAAATAAATGTTCAAGACCTACCCTGTATCGAGTCTGTTGAGAACTGACAATACATTAGATAATACTTCTACTATACCATAGTCTAATAATACTGAAGATATTATTGGTATACACTGTATCAACTAGAAACAAAAATATAACGAACTAAATGACATAGAATCAGAGATTTTTTATACAAAGTACGATGTTTATCATGGAACTCAATTCCACTCTAATGGTGTCTGACATATCCTGGTTCCAACTAGAAATCACTATAATAAAAACTGCTAATATAACATCTAAAAACCTTTGCAACGATGTCTTCAAACACGTTAGTTTTATTGGAATTGCAAGAACTTCAGACGTCTGGCTGAAATTGGAATGGTTCAAATTGATGCTAAAAGTGTCCCAAATACACATAAAAGTTTTTAGAAAAAGCTATTTACAATCCCTTTAAGGCAACTATGTATTATTACCTGTATAATAAAAGTTAGTGTATTGTGACACAAGGCCATATCTTCTGCTGTTTTCTCTATCAATGATAATAATAATACTACAGACGACTGCTGAACTGTTGTTAAATCTTTAAATTCTTCTAAGTTTACCCTGAAATATCAAACAAAAATTAATTCAATTGTTGGCAAAGAATTGTCGAAAAAATCCTTTGATAAGTTAAACTTATAAACTAATTTTCTTATGCCTTTGTTAAATAAAACTTGCACCCATTTTGGCTCTCAAATTTTACACATATATAAACATTATAGTTGGCAACTTTAAGTCGAACGGATTGCAGAGGAATTTGTGCAGTAAAACTTTAAAATTTTGGATCTGTGGCAATACCATCGTCTCCCTAAAAGAAGTTTTAACAGTTTCCAGAAACATATCCAATGATTTTATGCTTCTAATAGTTCAACAAGAATAATTGTTGTAACTTTGGGAATACTTGTAGCAATACTTACTCTTGTTCAAATTGAAACGGTCTGCCTAAAAATATAGTAATGGCCGCCTCTACGTGTTCACTAACCACTGGAGTAAGATGGAGTTGATTGGCCAATAAATGGAATCCGTCCTTCTTCAAAAAGGCTTCTTGGTGCATAGGTGGTGCTCGCATTAAATAGGCTCCTAACAGCTGAAATAGAATAAAATAAAGTTTGATAAGCTCTTTGAAGGGTAAAAATGTGTGCATAATACTAGCAAATATACAGTACATGACCTGATTTAGGAACAACAACAAAATATATCCACTGTTAGAATAATGCAGCTGTAGTACTAGCAAAATTTGTCCTCATTGCACACTGCATGGTGTTGCCAGTCTTCATTAGCTCAATTAGGTGCAAAAAAGTAGGACATAAAACTGTATTTTATTTCTTTCAAATCTTTGACTGTTCAGACTTACGTTTATGACGGCAGCTTTAATATACGGAGAACGATTCTGGGCGAGAACTATCAAACAACCTGTATTTAATATTTTACTGTATGTTTCATTCACAGAGCTTTCTGGTAAATCTTTTAATATCTCACTAACATAGTTCAATAAATCTGAAATACACAATAAATTACAATTATACGCCTGCAACCAACAATATAGAAGATAGGATGATACTAATAACAAAAAATTCAATCAAAAATTCAGGATCAATATTTAATGGAGAGCTCATCAATCATCTTGTCGTTTACCTGGCAGTCATCTCTAGTTATCAATAGTCATAAGTAGATTTTCAAAACTAGAAAATAATGAATTATAACCTAAACAATCAACAAGAAACTGAATAAAATTGAAAGCTAATCACTAAAACTTACTGGCACAAAGAGTAGACAGTCCTCGTTCATTTTTGTCATCAAAATCAGTCGAATTATCATCATCAAACTTAAATATGCTGTCATCCAAAATACTTCCATTACGATCTTTTAGTAACCTTTCCAGTATTTCTGATTGTTCTTCATTATAAGTTACTTCCCCTGTCTGAAGGGCAGACGGTAACGAGTCAAGATTATCCAGCGATTCAGTTGATTTACTTTGGTCTTCTGTAGATTCTTCAGAATTTTTTGATATCATCAGGAATACGTCATCTGATTCAAAACTTTTTGGTGTCCCAGAATACTGGCCGACCTTCTGGACTTTTGGGTAATCGGACGATATTTCACTTTCCGTGTCAGTTTTGCTTAAATCAGCATCTCCACCAAGACTTGATATTGATACATCACTGATTCTTTTTCCTGCATTTAAAATTTAAAATCAGTTAATGTTTGAAAGTTTTAGCAAAAGGATCAAATATTTTTTTCAAATGATTATAAAATGAAAAGAAATTTGGCCCCTAATGTATAAACACACTGCGTGTATCTCTTTTCTGTTTTAGGCTTAAAGTGGCCCTCACACCATAGTGATTACCTGTTGCGTATGATTGCGTATAGGAGTAGTGGGCATAAGTTTCCAACACAACTCTCATGCTACTGAGTTGTGAGTTCGGAACTCATAGCCAGTTTTATTATTCACAATCATATGTAACTGGTTATAGGTGTTATAGAAGATACTGTCCTTTATGGTAATCACTATGGTGTGAAGGTGCCCTAAGGCTTCACTTCCTGAGTAAAGGGAGACTACTCTTTATAGCTGACAATAATATAACATATATTAACCTCTAGAAGGAACTCTGTTGGGTATCATTTCACTATCAGTAGAGTTACTGCTCTTTCTCTCAATCCTTAATGGCTTCCGTTCTTTAATCAATGGAGTAGAGGTAAAACTGGGATGAGCTGAAAGTATAACCATTAAGACTTGAGATTCAAGCTACTGTATAATTGCGAATATAGTGCTCACTTTTTACACTCGATTAAATCAGGATAGTTTTCTGTTTAGCTGTAAATAATACAGACACTCTGGTTGAAAAATCAGCAAGTTGGCAAAACGCAGACACCATAATATTGAAGGTAACAGGATTCTAAATTGCTTTAGTTTAAGTGCAAAAGTAAGTGTAAAGAACACATAGATTAAGTGTTAGGATGAAGGATTTCATAGTGAACAAGATTAATGCTTGCCAAATGCTAAATTTGATCACCGGGTACCAGACCATGGGTTTTACAATAAAAAGAGTACTTACCCCACCATGTTTTAAAATACAGACATTCACTGCTGTAGTTGATAAAACTATTGGCTGCGGGATGAACTAGCAACAGGAAGTCTGTGACAGATCGTAACATATGGAGGTCGGGAGGGTTACCTAATATGGCCTTGACGATCAGAGACACAGATTTACTGATTATAACTGATAGAGATGGCAGGTTCTCTTGGATTCTCTCCTGAAATATTTTATGTTAAATTATGAGTAATAATAATTATAAGCCAAGATTCAATTTTTCGTATATATTTGTCACAAAAATTCTTTGAAAAAAGCAAAGAAATAGTTAAGTTTCCTTCAGGCTGTACCCTGAGTTATGAAGAAAAGTAATCAACAAAACTTATGACTAAGAAAGCAGCATAAAGTTCAACAAAAACATCCACAAGTTGGCATAACGCAGACACCATAAAATTAAGTGATAAACCACTTACCAAATAGATTGAAAATATTTTAAACAACACATTTCCAGCTTGAAACTGTTTGATGTTAAAATCTCGATATGGGTGATCTTCCCGAACCAGAAGTTGTAACGCCAAGAACAGTAACTCTGACACACCATCTGCTGCTGTCTCCCAGATTCGCCAATGTAGCAACAGTTGATCAACCACGGCTATATCCTTGACAATAGCCTCAGTACCACGTCGTAAGACAGGGTTTATACTTGAAGCATCAGGCCGAAATACTGATTCAGAAGTACAGGCGTCTAACAGGGTCTGTAACAAATCAACATTGTATAAAAATGTATAAAAAGATTGAAATAATGCAAAAGAGGTAGAGGGATAAGGCATACATCAGAATTATCAGAATTAATTGGCCCACAGAAATGATAAAATAGCCTTTAGACCTCATAAGATTGAAATACTTCCATATGTAATAGTTTTTCTTCTTGCAAATGTAATTCATGCATTTGAATCTGAAGACATTCTAAATGATGATAAGTTCACCTTATAGAATTAAACCAATCAAAAACTCTCTCAAGTAAAATCATACTGTGTTACATGTTAATTCCTAATTTGGTAAGGTTTGCCCAGTGGGAGTTCTCTTTCTGATAGATGTTTGGCAACTTTGTATATTTTCTATAAGATCTAACAGATCAAAATACAAAAGGAAAAAGCAGACAAAGAAATGAAATGAAATGGAGCTTTATATCCTACTTTTCTGCACCCAATGGGCAAATGAAGACAGGCAATGCCATGCAGTGTGCAATGAGGACTAAATAGAAGATATCATACCTTTAAGATATCATAACCTACAATACTTTTAGAACTAGTTAACAATCTACGTAACATAACGTATCCTGATATTTCTATAAACTGTGTCAGGAGGCGGGGAAATCTATTTATAACTACAAATAACTGACGAACAGCTTTACTCTGTAATTTCTCTGTTTTTATTTTATCAAATCCACTAGCGTCTGTATCACTGTTTTCATAAATCTGAAATTCAGAAAATAAATTAATATTTGCAAGGAGACTTCAGTTATTGTCTTGACCTAAGCCTGGATTGATCCATGAACCTACAGGCTGTGAGCAGACTCACTGAGCCACACAGCTTTCATTACATAGTCATTGCTAAGAATTGAGATATAATTATATAGTTAGGGTATTACAGCCAAAAAGCAAGAGAGTTCAAAGCGTATTAAAATAAAGTTAAGGGAAGCCTTATTACCTTAGCAATTAGAAATAAGAATGATCCAATTCCACCTGACTGTTCAGCAGCTTTTTCAAAACCATCATTAACTTCAACCTCCACACGACCCATTAAAACACAGGTCTGACTAGTAGGTTGTTGGTACAGCAAGGAATCCTGGGCTGTACCAGACTGAAGAGAACTCTGACTAGACGAAGATCTTGTACCAAAATAACAAACAGTATCGTGGTACTTTGGTAAATAACTCAACAGCAGACAACTCTGAAACAATATAGAAACAAAACTTGAATAACCGTATCAATTACATGGCACGACTGTTGATTTATCTGTATTTTGCCCGTAATGTTTGATTTGAGCCCCAAAATGACTGACTACCATTTTGATTTTTAGAACATTTCCATGCAGATTTTCCCGATTTTCTGCATTTTTCATAAATATTACAAAGCCTTAACTTAAATGGTAAAATATATGTTTGGGCCATTCTGTAATAAATTGTTCGGCTTCATTGCCCCATTTGTCCCCAGAGCCCCCTGGAAATGACACTGTCAAAGAGCTACTGTGGTTAATTTCAAAATGTACAAATCAAATACACACAAAAAAATACATGGAAACCAAGCTACATACCCTAGCTTTATCAATATCTATAATACCCATACTGCCCACTAATACATCATACAACAGATTTCCATCACTGATCACTTCTTTAGATAAATACGCTGAGAAAGTAGTTCCTGTGTTGGTGCTGTCACATTTACTAATGGAGGTACAGTTGACACCCTGCGTATATAAATAGTACCACCATTCTCTACTGTACTCACTTCCTGTAAGATATAGATGTAATATGGTAAGAATGACTAATATGGAAAGAGTTTGCTAAATTCTTTATGTGTAGCGGGGACACTGATAGCATCAATTTGTACCATTCCAATTTTCAGTCCTGGTTCCTGCAATTCCACTAACACTCAGAATTCTCCAATCTAGTACCACCCTATATAGCCGCAATAAGGCAAAGAAAGATAATTCGTCTTCAACTTACCCTTAAACACCATGACAGGACCTATCCTGTATCTACACAGATCTTTACTGATGTCCTCTTTCTCTAAACAGCCAAGATATAGTGAAGGCTGGACCTGGATATCTTTACGATACGCTGAGGCTGGATGATCTAGATGAACTTCTCTGCACATCCAGCCATTTATAATTAATATCAACTGAAACAGAGAGGAGACAAAATATAAAATATTTGGATCAAAAGTTTGTCCATTCATTGCTTCATTCATTCATTTATTCATTATTCATACCATTATCAATTAATTTATTCAGTTATTTTTGCAGTAAAATAGTGCCTTATTCTTTTTTTCATTCATTCATTCTTTTGTTTGTTTCTTTTTCATTCTTTCATTCATCTATTTGGCCAAGGTCAAGACCTTGTAAATCTCTTAAATGAGTGTAATATAAATAATAAGTAATTGTATGACAATTTGACAAGCCAGTATAAAGTGACATCAGGTGTTCATAACCAGCTTTGGCTCACTCACTTTCAAACAGATAGGGAAGACTTGCTTATGCGCCCCCAAAAACCATTTTGTGGCCCCTACTCCCCCTCCCTCCTACCTAATGATTCCAAGAAACACCATGTACCTACCTTCCCAAGTTGAGTACTACCATCTAAAGATTCCTTATAACTCACTACAACATGCTGCCATTTTGAAATACTAAGAAAATTCTCTACAAAACTTTCAGCCAGTAAACCATGTTCTGAATAAGCTGTAGATATCCTGAAGAAGAAATTATAACTATAATTCCATTCTAAACTGTAAAAGCCACAGCAGCATCGCTATATGCTTGATTGAGTAAAAGTAACACAATTGTAACATTATATCGAACCTTACATAGTAGTGTATTTCTTATTCCTGTTTATCAACCTCAAACCAAAAGATTATTTCCGTACCACCACCCCCAAAATCACCCCCAAACAACAGGTATATACAGTACCTGAATACTAAGGAGTTTGTTTTAACATCCAGCCACATTTCAAATCGTTTCTGTGGATTACCAACAGAAAAAATATGAGTATAGTTCGGAGGCGTCTGACCATTAAATGAGGAAGTTCTCGGACGTATTTCAGGAGTTGGGGGTGTGTCTTGGTCGGGTGTCACATGACCTAAAAAGGGAGACAAATATCAATACTAAATCATGTTAGTTTTTGAAGCAATCTGTATAAAAAACAGCTTTAAATATTTAAATTAGTTCTTTTAAGTCTAGTATAGATCTGAAAAAGATCATTTTTTATTTACATTTAGCTTGAATAATTTTGAACTTTGACCTGATGACATCACAAATTATCTATCCAATCAGAATCACTGTAAGAGTTTTAAGTTTTAACAGTTTTCAAAATAGACCAAGAACACTTACTGGAAGTCTTAGCAGGGGACTTTTTCACGTCTGGTGATTTGTGGTCAGGTTTTTTCTCTAGTAGACTTTCAGGATGAATCCATAGTGACACGGAGAAGCCATGTTGTAATGGCGGCCATGTTAGTCCATCCTTCAATAAACATTGCACGGCACCATGGGTAACCATCTTAATACTGGGCTGCTTGCTACCATCATTTGTATAATAGGGATCTGAAAAGAACCATAGGTTCAAAAATAGCTTATTAATGGATTTAAAAAAAAAAAATCATTCAAAGTATAAAAAAAGAAAGAGTAGCACATGGGGGGAAAGTCTTATTTTACCTATAAAAAATAATAGAATAACGTTCAAAATCTAAAAAAAACTTTCAGAAAATGCTTTGTCTTTCTTACTTATGATTTAAGCACACCAAGATTTGTAGCTACTTTAACGAGTGGAAATAAAAAGAGACAAACCTGTTGATATGTTAATATCATCTTCTGATTGTCTTCTCTCACCCACACTAGATACAGGGAACTGAAGACTATGTGATGGATTTAATACTGAATTTTCTACTATACCAAGAAACATTGATAACAGACCATCCTGAAATTAGTGATCAAGGAATCAATCAATTGAGAGAGAAATTTTGCAGAAAAACAGCAAAAATGTACTTTAAATTTGGTTTAAAACAATCCAGTATTTCAATCAATCCTTAATTAGAAATGCATTATTCATAGGACAAATCAAAACTAAAAATTGACAATCATTTCATCCTTGTAATGCCTAAATGACTTCAATGAAAATGTAGGATAATAAACATAAAATTACTTACAATATTGTTGTCTTTTGATTTAAAGAGATGGAAGAACTGCATCAATTCCTGGGAAGACATTTGTTGTTGAGCTAGTAGTTGTATTAAAGATAGTAATACTTCGCGAACTAGGATTTCTGCAGAAAAACAACAATTTTAAAAGTTACGATATCGTTCACATTTTTTACAAATACCAATATGAATTACTTCAAAAGTAGGAAGTATCTTTGCCATTTATACAGGGAAATTCATCTGTTATCACAATATTCTTCATCTAAGTCCAGTATTTTATCAGCATATACCGATTATTGTAACAATAAGAAACAACCCTCATCATGCCACCAATCCCCCCTCCCCTCTCACAGCAGGGGACATGCAGGTATATAACCATGTTGAGTTTTTCTGGTTTAAAAAATAAATAACGGTGAAAGAATATTACCTTGATGTGTGCCTGTTTTACAAACCAACTTTTCTTTAAAACCATCTAAAATAATTTCCAACAACCCCTGAAAATATTTTTAAAAAGGCATTATTAATTTGAACATAAAAAACAAAACCAAAAACCATATATTGTTGAACAATGGATAAAGAATCCTATTCTCCCCCATAATCCCTAGAATTCCCTGAGCCATCGTGGCTCCGCCTTAATCCATCAAACTATTTAAAAAAAAATAAAGTTACCTACCTCCTTACAAACAGCCTCTACGGCTATTTTACTAGATTTTAAAACTTGTAATAATCTCAACAGGCCTGGTATTAATATATCACATGTTTTATAGCTAGGTTCTACTTTCACTTTCAACATTTCTATAATTAGTCTAAATACAGCAGGAAAACACAGTACATTGTTACTATAAATAGACAACCCTGGCCTACCATTCCAGGCTGAAATAAATGAAACAAAATATGAAGGTTTACGTCTACTTTTCTGCACCTAATTGAAGACAGGCAATGTCATGCAGTTTGCAATGAGGGAAATTTTACCAGGACAGTTGCATTTCATCAGCCTATTATTTTTTTATTTCCAACTGTTAAGAGATCTTTAAGATGCACAGTTTGTAACACAGGTTTAATGTTCTATCTGCATGACTAGATACTCTTTCCATGTCAGCCTCTCTGTCCTGCATCACTGACAGGGGAAACTGGGTTGAAAATCTGAAGGTTATCTTGACCTATTTATTGAACTGGGAAATAATTTTAAGATCTAAATTTTTGAAACAGCCACCATATACTGTATATTTTCGAACATTATGCGCAAGCGTGTATAATGCGCACCCCTTCCTTACCCCATCAAAATCTGGAAATATCCATTTACCCGTATATAATGTGCACCCCTTGTTGAGGTTGGAGCTGGCATAAGACAGACACCAAAATAGTGAGTGATAACAAAGCATATTCCATGTATCACCTTACTTAGATAGATAGGTAATATAATTTGAACACTGTGTTACAACTCTCATAATTGTCATTGATTAATCATACTCTGATACTCTGATACAACAACTATTAATAACTTACTAGATTGTAAATCATCGAGAGTAGCGCCCTCTGTATCAGCCTCGTAACCGTGTTCTGTATACATCGTATCCTGGTCTGATTCACTTGTCTGTTGTTTAATTAATCTTAATTCATCTTCTTCATCCCAATCTTCTTCACATAAATTCTACACAAAATATAAGAAAAAAAAAATGTTTTCCCCCCACTTGTAAATAACGAAATCAGTCATCAGAATTTCTGAGATGAGAAATTGGCATGTTTAGAGCCAGATATAAAATGTCACTGTTTATGGGAGTTGCTCCATCCCACTTGTACAGAGTTGTACAAAAAGGAAAATTCTCATCCTCTGCTGTTTTGCTGTTCCATCTGGGGTACAGGGAAATTGTAGAATATCTTGTAATGTCTTGATAGACTCATTAATGGTTCAGCTTTGTGTAGATACAAAAGTTATGTGAAATCTGGCTTTTAAAAAAAACAGCTTACCAATAAATTGACTATTTGGGGGTAAGAGTATTCAAGTATTGAGGGTATTTGAGGTAGAGCTGGGGGTGGGAGATCAAACTTACCAATAAATTGACTATTTGGGGGTAAGAGTATTCGAGTATTGAGGGTATTTGAGGTAGAGCTGTAGTGAGTAACATATCTATAACTGTCCGTAATTTAGTTGACTCCAGTTCGGTACATTGTAATAATGAAGACAGCAATCTCTTCCACAGTTTCTCTTCTTCTCCTTTCTAAAATATAATAATGACACTTTGTGTTACTTCATCCATAGAAAGAAATAACCATTTAAAAAATAACTTTAGATTCTAGAAGATTTACCAACTTCTCCTTAGTCAAACGTCTTGGCATTAATCTTACCCAGATTATCTCTTACCATTTACAGCTGGGTCAACTGGAATAATGAAAGATGGCATATTCTGTACCCATTTACAGCTGGGTTGACAAGAATAATTAGGAAAGAGGACTAGGTCACCAGCCTTTCATACGCTAACCAAGATTAGAGCCCATGAGTCCAAAATCACCATTTGTTTGAATTAATCAAGCATTATGTAAAGCCTTTATCGTTGTCTTTGTAAGCTAAACAATATTTCCAACGTGCAACAAAATACACGAAACCCCCACACTGATGACCCTTGAATAATATTCCAGTAGACAGTAGACAGACAGATTCTTCTTACCTTTTGAGAGCCGTTAATAGTCTGGCAAGAAAAACACACGATCATCACTGCTTCAATAAAAGCTAGTTTCGATTGGTGACAAGAAAAGGAAGCGGGTTTGAGCTTTTTTGTCGTCTTGGATACTTGTTCTTCTTCTCCATTACTACAGAGTTTCTGACACGTCGATTCCTTGTTTCCAATTTCAACTAAGAGTTCCAGAGCTAGGACTAGACATTCTATGACTATGGAATTCGGACCAGGGGAGTTCCGGAAAAAACAACGAAATGTTGGACTGTTGATACACAATTTTGCACACGTCTGCCACATATCGAGCAGAAGTGGCAAATGTTTTAACATGTCGCTATGGTACTGTTTCAACTCTTCACAAAGATTCACCTCCTTGTTGCTAGTGTTGGATTCTGAATTTTCGTCCACCTCAGATGATTCAGAGTCAGGATTGACTTCAATGGATCCAGATTTCTCCAGTTGGTTAATGTGCAGACGTTGAAAGGCTGACGTAATATTGCAAGTTTTTCGCGCTAAAACATCTATAAAATTCTGCATTACATAACCACCAGAATAATCAGATTCAAATTCGTTAATTTCATATTTGGAACTATGAAATTTTTGCTCGTCGATCATAATAATCGCCTCAAAAACTCCCAGGACTGGCATTCGGAGCTGCTCATCTTCAATTAACTCATGCAAACGTGCCAAGCCATTTTTTTCTAGGAACGACTTCATGACTTTATCAACTTGAAGAACGTATGGTAGAGCAGAAACACAGTAGAGCATGGTACTGGTTGGAACAGACGCAGATGAAGCTTCATCGCTGGACACGTCTGTAGGATTCGAATCAATGTCTGTGACAACAGACTGCAAAACTTGTTGATAAATTCCAAAAAATAGTTCTTCTTTTATGATATCATTCCCCTTGAACGCTAAGACAATTAACGCCTTGCTGACTATCAAAGCTAAAGTATTATCGCCTGCCAAAACATAGTTCGTAAGTTGTCTCAATGGACGCCATCTTTGAAGAGATTTGAGCCGATTCGCTTCGGTAATTTCGCTACTAGAAAATCCACTATCTAGTTTAAAAGCTTTAGGAATATCTAACGAGGATAATGCTGAAAGGTTATCGGGCAAGAAACAATGCTGACAGACGCTTTGGTTAGAGGTTAACTTTGGATGTTTGAGACCTTGAAAATTGTCCAACAGCAGAGAGGTCACAGTTTCCAAACAAAAATTGCTCATGGCTGGTGTCAGTTCCCCGAGAAGGGGCACTACAGTGTCAATAACACGTTTGGGTTGAATACAGCAGCATACTCCTGGATTAGACAACATGGCCAACACCTGAACTTGCGTTCTTTTATGTTTAACTACTGGCAACAAATCCAAAAGATACTCCGACCACATGGCTATGGCACATGCAGACGGCGGACTACTCTTTGATTCTGATAACGTCCTTTTGAAAATTTCACTTATGGCACTCTTGGTACTACTTTCAAAGTCTAAAGAATCTAATTTTGAGGAATTTTCCAGCTCTTCTTTGAATTCGTTCGAATCTGCTATACTTTTCATTGTAGGAGAGGCACCTAATATTCCGTGATGATGGTCGAAATAAGAACTATATTCACAGTTTCGATGCCGATGTTTCAGGCATTTTACTGCATGGATATAGTTCACTTTCAACGTTTTCAACGTATTTATAAAACTTCCTGCATATTTAATGACATTGTCACTGTCAAGATTTTTGGATCTGTTACTAAATATATCACTATCGATGACCTCTACCAAGTATCTTATATAATCAAAGCCGCGATTTTCATCAAACACAGTCAGAAGTCCCAAGGCTTCGTTGATGTACGCTGGATTGAACGGCAAATGCTGACAAATTATTTCAAACAGTAAAATCAATCCACAAATGATGTCCTCCACCACAGAAAACACAGATTTGTCAAATTTCAATTTTGGATCCGATAATTTTAAATTCTGAAGTAAAAAGCTAAACAAATTTCGAACAGTTCCATGTCCACTTAGAATTTTCACGCCATGTTGATGTGTTGCTATGATACCACTCACTAAAAATATGGATCGCAGCAAATATTTCAAAACGGTAATTTTGGTTTGTTGTGACCACATGCACATTTTATCATTAGTTTGCCCTTCTGCTGTGTCAGATTTTTGGAGCTCTTCAACAAATAAGGGAGAGAACTGTTCATTTAACAAATGCAGCAGATGAGGCAAAATGGTGGAAGACAGAGATTTCCCAGAAGCCATTTCTTCTAGGTCCAATTTACTTAATTCACTGATCAACTCCAAAATTAATTTCACTAATTCTGCTGCTGAATAAGTTATATCTGGCTTCGAGACTTTTTCAAAAGAGGAAATGACATCATCATCGGAGTATCCATCATCTTCTTTCTGTGAACTTAAACTTCGAACAAATGGGGAACTTTTTCGTCTCAATCTGGCTGGTTTAGCTTTTGATTTGTTGTCATTCTCCGCAGTGTCGCTATCATCGCCAACGTCCTCCATTTTGAAAGTATCAAGGGTTGATCTCTTGTGCTTGGGATAATGGTGAGGCTGCTCTGAGGATTTCTGATTATTTTTTCCATCTTTTTGACAACCTAATGTTTTGAGTTTAGAAAGTTTGATTACGTTACTGAAAGACTGGTTAATTAGTGGAAGCTCTTTTTCTGAAAAGCCAAAATGATAGAAATAGGCAATGAATCCTCAAGAATTTTTGCAATTTGACCATATATTCTCCATAAAGTGAGAGGATTTACTTTACAGGCAACTATAAGAGATTCCAACTTATTCAGAAAATAAAACAGCTATAAATTTCTTACAATCTACAACTTGTGTCTATTTGGGATATGTTTGACCATTTTAAACTTTGATGTTGCTCACCTGAAAGGCCTTTAGGTAAAACTTCTGATTGGTTAAACTGACAACACCATGGCAACAAAGATACCAATAAATTACAAAAATCTCGGCTATTACACAAACCCTATAAAGAAAAAGATTAACTTGCTAGGAAAACAAATATAGGTCCACACATCAAATTGGTTACAATTTTGTACACATTTCAAAAGAAATTAACAAATCCAAACATCAAAAAAAGAAATGCACCATAACCATATTTGTCCACAATTGTAAAAACTTGCAAAGGGATCATCCATAGTGTTCACTGTTCACGAATATCGAAGTGAGAAAAGTATTTCAGATATACAAACCTCAGGACAGCTAGCTTTTTACAGTGATTAATTCTCCAAAATCAGATTTTAGGCATAACAGTAAGGTTAGCAAATTTACTGAACAAAAATTTGAAAAAAGGGACCTAACTCACAATATTATGTTTCATAGGCCAACAAAGACTATTAAAAGAAGTATGAAAAAGATACATACCCGAACACCAATATCTCTGATCAAATGTAATAACATCCATCCTCTATCGTCCAATAAATAGCTCTGTAACAAACTAGCGTCGTCTTCATTATTAGCATTAGCCGTTACCGTGACAATATCACTCATAAACTCTTGACTCAGCTGATTACACATCGTACTTTCATCCCTGAAACGAAATTATAGATTAAGGTTTATAATTCACAGAACCAGATATAAAATTCCGGCAAATCCTGGACGTTTCTAGAGATCATTAAATAGGAGGTTGTGTAAGGACCGCAGAATTCACAAAACAAGAAATAACACTCCTTCAAGTATGACATAAAATGTAAACCAAAAGTAAAATGGCTACCTATGAAACCTTAAGCAGCTTTTTAAAAAATGACATAATTTTTTAGAATAGCTTCTTTATCAGTATTAGCTATATTCTATTACTACTTTACACATGAAACTATATTGTAATATAAGTAAGGTTTCAGAGACAAACAACAGCTTATTTTAATCTGTCACCTCTAATAATAGTAGTAATATGTAACAATTTTTTTCAAAATTATTATTACACTTAAAGTGATACTACGTCTTAGAATAAACATCAAATTTAAGAATTTTAAACTTGGCCAATAAGACTCAGTAGATATACCTGGTGTCATAAATAACATAACAGGATCTTAATATAATCAGATAAATCCAAAAAAACTCAGTAATTATCCATAAATATGTAATTAACTATTGAAAAACGCTTAATATTAAGATTAATCGTTTTTCAATAATTACTTAGTTTTATGAATTTTCTAGATTTTACAGGGATTCTGTTGTAACTTTATGACACCAGGTAAGTTCACTGATGAATATATACTCTTATTGACCAATCTTGAGAATCAAATTTTATGTTCATTCTAAGACGTAGTATCACTTTAAGTAGCAGGTTGGTGAGCCAGTTTGTTACTAGTAGTATGATATGTTATTACATAATCAACCAGCGTTTCCTGCTAATCAACTTGCTTGTTTTCATATGGCTCCTGATTCCGCTGCGCTCTCAGCTAGGTTTCTGCTGGTGTATATCCCTGAATAATCATACTGACCTCAATATTAGAATATGTTCTACTGATCCTCTCTCTGTGAAATATGACCATAAAAACATATCCAATACATCATGACGCTTCTGAAATATATCATCAACAAATTGTCATTACGGTGCTGGGATTTCTGGGTAATGTTTCACAAGAAATCTATTAATTTTGTTGTCAGTATGGTTATTTCTCAATGTAAACTTGTAGAAAATCTTTTTAAGAATAGTGCCGAGATTCTTGACTCTACAATATAATCCTTGTATAGCGCTGATTTCAAAATGTGTCTAGCAAATCACTTTATTTTTTCACTGTAATTTAATTAGATTGTACCATAATGATATCAAGGTCACCCTTTAAAAGTGACTAAAAATTGAAATGACCACCAGAATTTTGGATGTCTCCATATCTAATACAAGGTTCACCTGCTAAATATGTAATAAAGTCAGACAAGTTGAGGAGACAACATAGTGAATCCTGTCTCCTCATTATAAAAATATCCATAGCAATCCTTGAATGATATCTATAGCAGTTTATCAGTAGGCCTATTATTATTTCACTTGACTGGATTATTAACCCTCCCACAACCAAATATAACAAGGTTGTTTCTATCATTAGGTTGTATATACCCTTACCATGTTCATATGTCTATTAAACCTAACCTTGAGTTATTATATATCCCTCAACATGTTTGATTTAATTTTACATAATCCTCTTAGAGTTTTAACCTTTGAAGATTGAGTAGAAATGAAATAAACCGCCGAAAACTCAAAGTTATATAACTTAAAGTGTATGACGTTAACATTATGTGATGTCACTTGGTAATGGTCGCTTTGCCGACTGCTTCGATATATATTGAAAAGTAATGTGGCTGGTAAAATCGGCCACTAGGGTTTAAAGGGCTAAACTTAATTCCTTAAAAAAAATAAAATATAAGAAAACAGTTTGGGAAAATTTTGAAAATTTCCTAAAATCTTTAATGAAATAATAAAAATTTTTGTTCTGTTTTACCTTTAAGAAAATACATCTATTCAAAAAGTAGCACAATCCTCTTTTCCAAAAGGTTAGAGTTTTGAGCTGTTAAAAAATCCACTCTTAAATTTTCATTGAAGTCTTGTCTAGTATTTGAAATCTTGATATATGATATACCGGTAACTTAAAGTGTATAAACATGACCTAATTATAACAGTTATATAATATATTTACACATTAAAGTAACCAAACCAGATACAGATTCAACTCAAAATTTTCTTGTTGAGAGTTTTAAATTGCGTTTAACCCTTTTAACATTGAGCAGCCATTACCATGTAATATCATTTGTAATATCAAAGTTATATCATTTGGAGTTAAAGAAATTGTAAAGAGGTTTTCTAAAATTTGTATGTGTAGTGGGCAGACTGATAGCATCCATTAGCACCATTCCAATTTTCATTCCAACGCCTGGGGGTCTGCAATAACACTAAAACTAGTTGTTTGATGACGTCACTAATTGCAATTATCTCAAAAGCCCCTTCGCTATTAGTGACATCATTAAACACTTAGTTTTAGCAGAACTGATGGTATAAGTGTCCCCAATACAAGTGTTTGATGACATCACTAATAGCAAAATATGCTTTATCTCATAAGCCCCTTCGTGATTAGTGCCGTCATCAAACATTTAGTTTTCTTTCATAAGCCCCTTCGCGATTATTGCCATCATCAAACATTTAGTTTTCTTTCATAAGCCCCTTCGCGATTAGTGACGTCATCAAACGCCTAGTTTTAGTGGAATTGACACTATCAGTGTCCCCTATACAAGTATCATATGATTCGGAAGTCTCTTTAAATAGCACATTCCACAGCGTAAAACAATGATCATATTAAGTAATGTACCATCTGTGATGTGTTATCACATATTAATTAAACTACTATCTGGGGCATACCAGACAGGCAGACCTACTCTAGCACACACTAACCCAGTTTTTTTAAAAGTGTGAGTGAAGAGGTTATGAAATACTATTTTATAATAAATTGTGTAGATTCTCTTCATGCACGATTAATTCAAAAATACCAAACTTTTCTGATTAATTCTGTTAACTATAACAATGGAGATCACAGTGCATCAAAAAAGTACTAGAAATCATTTAATTCTTTTAAAATATTTCAAACTAAGAATTTTACTCACTATTTCTATATATATCTTTTCTATATATTACAGAGTATCTAGAATTGACAAGTCGTCATTTTAACATTCAAACGCGGATAATTCTGGATGCACATAGAATTCGACCGTGAGCTGTGAACACTATTACTAAAAAATTCCTGAGACCTGTCCCTTTAAAATAAACTGATGTAATGCGTCCCACTATCCCTTACAATTCTTACGTAACTATCCTAAAGTGTGCCAAATGAACTATATAAGATAGCCTACATACATGCACAAAAACTATAAGACTTTAATACACACTTTTTGAATATTTAGGTACCATAACAGTACAAAATGCTAAGTTTCGCCCCACAGCTCAAAGGGTATATGGGTAAAAGTGCAATAGTGACATCTTTTTTTTGTAGTAAAATGGAATAATAGCAATTACAAAATAACTGCGTGACTCCCTGAAAGATATTGGCATAATAATAGGAAATTACGAGTTGATAACCCAATTAATGAAGAAAGAAGAAATCACAAACCTCTCATTGTCAATGATAGTTATATATAAATAAATATCTATAAATATAAATATGGCTTTATGCGAATACAATCATGCAGTAATTGAGCGTAAAAATAGGATACAAACAGAATGCTGAGTTGACAAAAAAGCCAAAATAGTTATACAAATGTAAGAGAAGTACAAATCTCTATTGTGAAGCCTGCCATAATTATGATAGTTGTCCAGATATACATACAGACAATATGTGAATATAATTATGCAGTATAATTACAATAAAATAATTGCCTCATTACATATAATCTCAGAGGTCTTAAATCAAACAATTAGTCATCTAAACTCTGTTGTCTAATTTAAAGGCTGTAGCACAATTCAAAAGGCAAAAGGGAGTATGAGTAGATTTAAAATACAAAATTTACATAATTGAAACAAAAAAACTTCTGCTTGGTCATCGTTTCAAAAATGAGGCATTTGCCTTCATTACACTTTGACCTTGAAACAAAAACTGTGAAGTCTTTGACAAGACATGACATTTCTACCTTTTCAAAACACCTGATGTCATGCTGCAACTGGCTTTGTAATTTGTATCCTTTTGGAGAGTTCAAGAGTCCACATAACATATAATATTAATTTCCTTTTTTCTGATTAGAAATCATTCTCAGGAGGGAGAGAGAGGATGGGGTCAGCCTTAACCTAAACCGGTCACCAAAATCCTGACCAATATAAGGTGCTTTGTGAAAAATTTGTTTTGGGTAGTATACTTTGTAACAATTTTGTTCTTCTACACTAATTCTCGCATTTGACAAGGAAAAACAGAAAGTTAAACATTGACCTTGTTTTTTATTCAGAAATAACACATGTAAAAAATTAATGCAGCATAAAACATTTATTATTGTAGTCATAAACTAAATTTGTCAGTCAAGATATGTTATTGTAACTTCACTGTGATATGACAGAATTACGACTGCAAAAACATTACAATCATACTAAACATTTTTGAAAATGTTACAATGACTTTCAGATATTTACGATATATTTGTGAATACAATGTTTTTACACAAACTAGAGCTTGTCAAACCAGGGGTACGTATAAACAGTGACCAATAGTTATCAATTTAAAACCTAAGTAATAACAATCTAACTGCAAACCGAAACCAGAAATCCAAAAAATATTGGCAATACATTTTCCAAATAGACCTTTTAATAAAGTTTATTATGGGAATTTGTGATTTCTATTAAAATAATTTTTTTTCAGGATTTCCGCAAACCACTTGCACTGCCTGTTTTGTTCACAGATATCTGATATTGGGTATAGCTCGTGTCAGTTGTTCTATAATCAATCTACAGAAATAAGGTTACCATGGGATATTTAATTTCAAATAACACAACCCAACAATTTAGTTGATACTGAAATTTATACATATTTATCTGTTTTCTTGTTGACAAAAATTATACCCTGACTTTAAATATAATATGATATACTAACCTAATAAACTATACTCTAATCAAGATAACAAGATAAATAAATAACTAATAATAATTACTGATTAGTTATCTCTTTATCTTTATCCTGATTACTGAAGCCAATATCATAGTTAAAGGGACAGATGCGCCATTTCAGTAGGTTGATTTGAGTCTTGAATATATGTAAATAGTCTTCAGAAGTACTAGTGCAAACATCACAAAATTCCTTTAAAAATACTTCAAACTAGGAATTTTATGCATTATTTCTATATTTCTCTTTTCTATAATCACAGAGTAACTTAAATTGACGAGTCATTTTAACATTCAATCACAGATAATTCTGGACACACATAGATTTGAAGGCTCAAATTTTGATGGTGAGCAGTAAACACTATTACTGATTGACTTAGCTTAAAAATTCACGTTTCTTAGTCTAAAGTTTGATTGATAAAAAAAAAAATGGTGCACCAGTCCCTTTAAAGTAAGGTACCCAATACTTCAAGTGATGACCTTCATATTCAAGTCCCAGTTTGGAATGACGCATGAAGTGTTAGGAGTGAAGGATTAGCATGCCTAATGTCATGAATATATTGAAGCTAATCATACAACACACCCGTTAGAGGCTTTGATACAGTGGTTTTTATATGGACAATAATAATAAAAATGTTTTATAAAGTGTATCGAAAGGGTCAGCATATCCTGTGTCATTAGTAACTATTTTATTAACAAAGTCTAAAATTTTCCCTCGGTAAGGCTATAAGAGGATTATTATTTCAATTATTTCAAGGTAACCCAATGGTAAATGGTGTACTGTATACCCTAGGAGTACACGTAACCCTGATTCACAAAAACCTAGCGATAAGAATTTGAACTGTTAGTTTGAAATTTTACATTCAGAAATACCATACCTATGACAAAATTGATCATAAGATTTTTGCAGCTGTGTAGGACATGGCTACTCTAAGAACTATTGTCTGGTCAAAAGAATAATAAGATAACAAGGGCTGGGTATCAATTACCAAATTGAGATCAATTATCGACAGCATGCTACAGATCAATATTCGATTAAAAATCAAAATAGTTTAATTGAGAAACCCTGTAAATATTAAATTCAAAACATGCAAAAATTGTTAATTCCATGGGTATTCTGCGTCACAGAAGTATATTCTTGTCTTGATTGCTTAATATGGCTTATTGTGAGTAAGTTATGTGCTGAAGGGAATCTATGTGAAAGAGATTACTACTCGTTAACAGGTACAGTGGAGACAATGTAACTTTGACATATAATCGATTATGAAATTTGATCAAAATTATAAATTCCTAGCAACTATAATCAATTATTTAGATTATTTTACCCAGATCTAAAGATAACTATGTCCCTTAAAAGAATAACTTACCTTCATGGTCAAAAGGTCACTTCTCTTTCTGACCAAATGGGCATAGGCTTCCCATAACTCAAACAGCATGGTTAATGTTGAAGTCTTTATGTACAGTGTAGTATACTCTACTGCTATTTACATTGATAAAGTCTTGTTACATAATCTCTATACTGGCCAAACATGGCTGAAAGATAATAAAATTAGAACATGATATATAATAATTGGACTAGTATGTCAAGATCAATATTCAAAGAGACTGGATGAGAGGAGATGACCTTGATCATGACATAGCAGACGACAATCCAACTCAATGCTCACTTACCAACCCACTGTCCTAACAGACAAGAATCCAATATATAAACAAATACTAACCATCTGAACTACAAAATGAAACCCCAAATCCAAAACAACATATCGACGAAAGTTCTAGCAGACGACAATCCAACTCGCTAATGACTGAGCTATTCCACTGTACTAGCAGATGACAATCTAACTTGCTACTGACTAAACTAACCCCACTGTACTAGTAGATGACAATCCAACTCTCTACTAACTGAGCTATCCCACTGTCCTTGCAAAGGAAAATCCAACTGGCTACTGACTGAGCTTTCCCACTGTACTAGCAGATGAAAAACCTATAAAATTGTAAAGTTGAATCACCTTTGCAAAATGAACAATATGTACATGCACCTTCGCTTCAACTCACTGATTTAAAAGAGATTACCAGGTGATGTTTTCACACTTCGATGATCCAGACAGTGTTTCTTAATACATTCAAGCTAATAAGCCATGTATCTACATTATTGTCAAGTATTTTTCTTCTTAATAAACTATGCACTAAAAAAATTCTCTCCTTATGAAAGCCACTTTAAAGTCCATGGTTCCAAATTTTTGGGCGTCAATGGCACCATGGTCTCAGAAACAGGAATTGTTTTTAGCTAAGCAAATCAGTAATAGTGTTCACAGCATGCTGTCGAAATTTGATCTGTCTAATCCATGTGTGTCAAGAATTATCCACATTTGTTAAAGTTAAAAAGAAGAGTCATCTTTTCTTGAGATATTGCCTTATATAAAAAAGAAAATAAATTCCTAGTTCAAGATATTTTTAAAGGAATTATGTGATGTTTGTACATTTCTAGTACTTCTGAAGACTATTTACATGTATTCAAGACCCAAACCTTTTAAATTCTTTGACATCGCATGCATTTTCGAGTTAGTAATACAGTAACTCACTGATTAAAAAGAGATTATCAGGAGATGTTTTCTCACTTGAATGCCTCGACTGTGTTTCTTTTATCAAGCTAATTAACCATGTAGGCCTATCTATGTTATTATCATGTCAATCCATGACATGTCCTTTTTATGTCTTTTCTTTTGCATGAATTAGGCACAACAAATATTTTCTTCTACATTTTATTCAAGGAAAGATACGTTACTTTAAAATATTTGATAAAAATTCTAGGTTTTGTATGTAGACTTTTATAGACATTTTAGACAAAAGCTCAAGATTATCTCTACATGAGAATCAATGATTGGGATCAAAGTAATATTGATATAGCTAACAATATAGTCATAAATAAATCCTTCCCTAAATTAGTCAATCAAGCAAAGATTACATCATCTTACATCTAGGAAGGAAAATTATCCTTTGCAATATTTACAGTGTATGAATACTTGGACACTTGACTTGGCCTTCAATTATTATCGCAAACAAATGAAATGAATGGAGTTCTACATTCTACCTTTCTACAACTAATATGGCTAATCAAGACACCATGCAGTGTGCAATGAGGGAAATTTTCCCTCTTAGGTTTACCAGTAGTGTGGAAAAATTATCAACAAATTAACAGAATAACATGTTCACTTCCTAACATATGATGTTGTAATTTTAATCCATCAAACATCAAATCAATATATTATTCTAATGCCCACCCACGTCAAAGACTTTTCTGAACGTGTAACAAGACAAGTCATTCGATTCAGTCCGCCACACACACGGTACAGTACACCACAGGTCAAGCAAGTGAACATTCAACGAAGCCTTCGATGTTTTCCAATTCCCCATTTGTTCCCTCTATGCCACATAATAAAAAAGAAGATTCAGTTAAGCAAAATACCCAATTCGTTGATAGAAATTCAAAAAAACACAATCGATATCTTACATAGATCGGAAATCCTTCGCAAAACATGAATATTGTAAATTTCTACACAGGTTTCGTCGACATTTTGTATCACGTGATAGCTAAAAATAGGTCATGAGAAAGATTCAGACCACAGCTGAGTAAATAGTCAAATCGGACATAAACCAAATTGGACAGAATATATTGGTCATATTGACACACATCTTAAAGGGGATATATCCAAAGAGCTATATAACTTACATATTTCTATGGATATATCACAGTGGTTTTTAATGACAAAATGCCGACTAGAGGGGGAGGTCACAAAGGGGGAGGAAGCACTGCTTTGGGAAAATTTCCGCAATTCACAATTATTTTGGAAATAAAGTTGCAGTTCGAAGAGGACTAGACTTTCTCAGCTTGACTACCAGACACACCTGTATCTAATGAATAAATTGTATGTTTTAGAATTTCTACTTTTAAAATCTAGAAAGCCTTTTGACTCCTGTTGAATTTAGGTGCAAGCATATTAGTGCCTTACATATCACAGAACTTCAGTATACAGTTCCCTTTAACCCTTAGCCCCGCCTTCTGATCAATCTTGAGACTGTCACGTGATCTTGATGACTGAATCATCTATTTTAGTAACAAGTATCACATGGCATAAACAACATGGCGGAGACAGGTAGTGTTTTCATCAACAGCTGAGGATCGGAGTAAATTAACGCTTTTTAAAACCCTTGGCACTTGTGTTTCGTGTACAAAAAGGTGACAAAATGACGTCTATCAAAGTTGCAGTGAGGGTTCGCCCCATCAACCAAAGGTTTGTATAGATTTTTGCAAATTTATGTGCAAAATTTACGAACTTTGTTATCAATACGAATGAATAAAGGAAAAGTTCGGCTGTCAAAATTAAGATAAAAAAAAGGTGATAACGTTATAGGGAATAGATAAAGACAGGGAAAAAGTTCATCTATGTATGAACATTTGAGGAAAATGACATCATTTGACTGGCTGATAAAATATGTTATTCACCAAGAAATTTATTGGCTTATTGATTTTCTACCAGGTGTGCTGTTACATGGCAAGTCTGGTATTGTCAACAATACCATTCGATATGGTTACAACAATAACATATTTATCATACAAAACCCATCAATTTTCAATTTTCTAACTATACTTCATTTCTTGAAATTTATGCCTCTTTAAATATCAGCATATTTTGTAAGACTTTTCGCTCGATTATGACCAAATTTTGAAAGAAAATGGAACCTACAATCGGATATCTCCCTTGTCTGTCAATTTGCATCTTCACAATATCAAGCTATTGCGTCTTCATCTTATACCTTTACTGAAATGCCCCCACTTTCTTGTTTCTCGGTCAGCGATTTGATTGGTTTGTACACCAGCGAATACAGCTAATCGGAGCCCTCCATTCATGAGTAATTATATTTTATAGTTTATCGGCCGAGGGATGAAAATGGCTGTATCAGCTAGCGAACAATCCAATCAAAATGCTTCATTCATAAACTTCCGCGATGCAGTCAAGGTATAAGATGAAGATGTAATAGCTTGACTATTGTGACGATAGTTAGTTTATTTTATTATGAGATTTATACAATATGCCACCACAGGAGTAATTTGCATATTCACATTTTTTAACTCATCAATTATAATTATATATATCTAAAGTTTTATAACAAGCAGCGTTTCTATTAAATAAAAATTGTAGTAGGACATGCAGCAATTAATTCTATAAAACTCCTTTTATTATATATACAGTCCAATTAACACATTAGCTAGTTTTTTTGTTTTTTTATTCCTTCCCTGTTCTATGCAATGGACATTTGATGATTGCCTTGTGCACTGCTACTGTAGCTTACTACTGTAATGAGTTCAGTAGATGTAGGAAAATCTGGGTTTGTGACTGGATTTTCACAAGGCAAACACAGTTTGCATTACTAATATTATAGATTACTGAATCATATAATACACATGTAATAGAAAGAATGTATTGAATTTGGAGGAATGTTAAAGAGATTGTAAAGAGGTTTTTGTATGTGTATCGGGGACACTGATAGCATCAATTTGCACCATTCTAATTTTCATTTGTTGTACATTTTAAGGCCATATTATTCTTTTGGTATTATACTGAACCAAGCGGTCATTCGGATTTTATACCACCCCCTCCCCCCACCTGAGTATTACCAGATTTCAGTAGTCAGGAGAAAAAAAAAGAAACAAGTCAATCAATAAAATTTTGAATTATTTAAAATTTATGTAAAGTTATCATGACATAACATTAACTGTATATTGAATGGAGTATATAAGATACTTATAGATTTAACATTATTATCTATCAATAAGCTCATCTTAGGCCAATAAAAGGGAAGCTGAGGTGACTTAATAATGAGTTAAAGGCTTTTTTGCTAACCTTAAGTTCTGTGATACAAGTACAACTCCAGCCTAGGTAGAGATAATGCATTTGGATTTTTAAAACCGGTTCTCCCTGTCAGTGATACAGGTGTGCGGAACGGACATATCAAAAGTGGGTTGTCAATCGGATCAAACAATAAACTTAGGTGTATGTTAAAGATACCTCAACAGTTGAAAATCAAAAAAGATTAGGCTAATGCTGCTGTCCTGACAAAATTTCACTCATTGTACACTCAGGCTAGTCGTTCAGATAGGAACATAAACAGATGTCCCTTGTACTACAAGCTGTGCACGTTAAACATCCCTTGACAATTGAAAATCGATAAAGACTAGGCTAATCTACATTCCTTGAAAAGAAATATAGTTGCATCACTTTTGACAACCCATACAGAAATTATTATTCAGGATATTTGAACATTAATAATTGATTTCAATGAAATAGACATCATCAATATGATTTCATCAAATGCATAAAATTTCCTTAAATGGATATGAGACTATGAATATATATATGACATGATGGGTGGATATGCCGTCAATAAGCATACATGACATCATCAAATGAAAGTGACATCATCAAACACTTATGACATCGTCAATAAAATTGACATCATAAAATGAAAATGACATTATCAAACATTATGACATCGTCAATAAATTTGACATCATAAAATGAAAGTGACATCATCAAACACTTATGACATCGTCAATAAATTTGACATCATAAAATGAAAATGACATCATCAAACATTATGACATCGTCAATAAATTTGACATCATAAAATGAAAATGACATCATCAAACAGATATGACATCATTGAACACATGTAGACAACTAAAAAATTAGACAGTTTTTACTTTAAGTTTAAGAAATCTTTAACATCTTTAATCTTTTAATTGCATTAAACATCTACTAATAGTAAATCCCTTTAGCATTAATTAATAGTTAGAAGTTTGATACCCTGCTTACCAATTTTCATCATAATATCCTTGCATAATGATGTAATAGTCTGATCCTTGCGAATTTGCCTCATTGTACACTGTATTAAAACCCTCTGTATGGCATAGCAGAGCCACCGTCATTGATAATTAATATCTTTCTTACAGGGAAATAGACATGGAGAGTAAGATTATAGTTAAAATGGAGGGTGAAAAAACAACCATCAAAAATGTCAAGGTAAATAGAATTATGAAGGGGTTTTTCCCTTAAAATATTCTCTTAAAATCATGATGGAAGTTATCTTGAATGTTGTCACCCATTCTTAAAGGCTGGACATGTTAAAGGGCCTTAATCGATGGAAATAGATAAAAAAAGTAACTAATGCAGCTGTCCTGGTAATATCTCTTTCATGGCACTCCTCATGGCTTTGCCCATCTTCTTATATCAAAATCAGAGTGAGTAGCGAATGCAGCTGTCCTCGTTAAATTTTCTTCATTGCACACTGCATGATGTGTTCTCCATTTTTAAGAAGTCCAAATCAACAGGAGCTGTTCTGGTAATATCTCACTAATAGCACTCCTCATGGCTTTGCCCATCTTCTTATTTGCAAATCAGAGTGAGTAGCGAATGCAGCTGTCCTTCATTGTATGTGTTCTCCATCTTCACAAGTCCAAATCAACCGGCTAGTAGTAGAACAATTAGCTAAATGCAGCTGTCCTGGAAAAAACTTGCCCATTGTACACTGCATGGTGTTCCCATCCAAATCAACAAGGCAGTAGGGTAAGTAGTATTGTACACAGCATGTTGTTTATGATTTTCATATTGTACTTTGGTTTCAGTTACTATCTGGTGTTGATTTTGATCTGTTACGAGATCAGTTAAAACTGAAAGAATTCACGTTTGATAAATCATTTTGGTCTGCTGTTCCTAGTGATAAACATTTTGCTACACAAGAAGAGGTAAGAATATCACTGCTTTTGAGAATTGGACTATTGGACAATATTTGACTATTTTGAACACATTTTCAATATAAAACATCTTAATAAACAGCATTTTCTAATATATTCAGTAAATTTACTGAGAAAGATATCCATTGAATAATTGAAAAAGAAACAAGCTAAATATATACAGTGAATCATTGAATAATTAAAATGTAGGTTATTGAATTAACCTTGAGGTGATAAGTTTAAACAGTAATTAATCTAACAGAATAAATATAGTTTGTGACCTTACTACTTATTAATCTTTTATCAAATACTTGTTAAACAGTTTATATCAGGTGTCAATGCTTGTAGACTGCCGCATGCATTGGCCATGGAGTCAACTATTAATTAACTGGAGTAAATATAGTTTATGACCTTACTTTTACCAACTACTTGTTAAACAATTTATATCAGGTGTCAACACAAGCACTGGCAGTGGCATGAACAATAATGTTATAGTTATTGATATTTTATCACTTACTTGTTAACCAGATTTATATCCTGTGATCCTGGAAGGTATTATACTCTGTTAACAGTTAATGACCAGAAAAACTAAAGAAAAGAAACAACTATATTTTACAATGATAACTTAAGTTCGCTTTCTACTAGCTGGTCCTTGGCCAAACCTCTTGGCATTAATCTTTCCTGGATTATCCGTACCCATTTACAGCTGGTTCGACTGGAATTATGAGTGAAGATGACTTATTCAAGGTCATCAGACTTTCACATGCCCATTGAGAATTGAACCCACGTAACCAAGCAAATGACGTCATGTAAAGAACCAACGCTCTAACCGACTGTGTTATAAAACCTTTTCTCCTTTACATCAAATACTGATATCCGGTTGCTACTGTGGTTGACTCTCACACGCACTGGCCATATTTAGTGCTGACTCTTACTTAGCCTCTTTTACAGAGATATCGGGAGGAGTGATGAAAGTATGAATCGTGCAATGTAAAATTATTCTGGCTGTCTCATACTTTATTTGCAACCTGTTCCAGTGATTTTTTATGAACCTTGCTAAAGATTTTGTGAAAATCTAGTTCAAAATTGATATCAGCAATGAGCAGACCCTAAAATATGGATATGGATCCCACATTTTCCCCTCCTTCTTTAATTCTTTATTTTATTACCAATGAATTTAATTTCTATGGTAACCACAAAATTTTTATTCATTCCATATATGAGAACGATTTTTTAGAAATATTTTATGATAAGTTTCGTTTTGCAAAAAAAATTGGAAAGTGTGCACCGCAGTATTTATTTTCTATCCCCAATGTTTCCAATTACATATTTCTCTCTACCCCCAATGTTTTCCATCATTTGATTTATCCCTACCCCCAAATTTTTCAATCACATGATTTATCTCTACCCTAGGTGTTCCAGTCATTAGGAAAGGATGTAGTTACAGCAGCATACGAGGGCTACAATGTCTGTGTTTTCGCGTATGGACAAACTGGTTCAGGAAAGAGCTATACCATGATGGGAAGCCAGGTTTGTAATTTCTTAGCTATAAAATATATGTGTATTTGGGAAATGCGTGTGGGGATAGGAAGGGTGGCACAATGACAATATTTTGTCATATATCTGTTGTTTTTTGTAAGATTAAACATTTAAGATTCCACTATGGCCAATGATTCTTTGAATATTGTTAAAATAAATATTGCAGGTTTTGCGATTATAACATTATTTATAAAACGCTTAGTTTAAGTTGAAGGAAGCACAGTCAGAATCAAAATACATAATGTAGATAATATGGTTAATGACATATTAAAGCTACCATGCTAAAAATATTTTCTATTTTCTATTTGATGTTTCAGGATAATCCAGGATTTATACCAAGATTCTGTAAGGTAAGAATTACCTACTGCTTACTAATCAATACTTTCCTAAAACACTGGGTTTGGTTTTCGAAAATAGTCTAAATTTGTCTTAATCTAGTTTTGAATATTGAGCAATTACTGATGGTGCCATTTTGTTTAAAACTCTGAGATGATCAAGGAATATGACAGTACCGTTGCTCAATGAAATATTTCCAAGGTCACTTGTACATGTGTTTGAATTTGAAGAATATATTGCCAGTAGAGTTCACAATAAGCAGAATAAATTTTAAAGGAAACATTGTTCCTGAACAAAGCATTTCTTCTATTTTCAGGAATTATTTAAAAGAATGACAGACGACAGAACAAGTTATAAAACCGAGGTCAGGTACGTTGAAATTCTTTTTATATTTTTTTGATTAGATTCATAGCATCCCTGAGCCCTCCTGAGCCCTCCTGAGCCCTCCTGAGCCCTCCTGAGTCCTCCTGAGCCCTCCTGAGCCCTCCTGAGCCCTCCTGAGTCCTCCTGAGCCCTCCTGAGCCCTCCTGAGTCCTCCTGGCCCTTTCGTGATCAGACCTCTCAGTCTGTCCCATGCTCTTTTTTAGAACCTAGGTGTTCAGGACTCCTGAGCCTTACTGTGTCCTCCCAGCCCCTTGGTGATCAGACCTCTTAAGCTGCCCTTGGCTCTGTTTCTAACTTGTGTTCAGACAGACATAAGACTCCTGAGTCCTCCCAGCAGTTGGTGATCAGACCTCTTACTCTGTCCCTGGCTCTATTTCTAACCTAGGTGTTCAGACAGACATAAGACTAATATTATAGATTTTATATTAACATATGTCAACCCTGATCAACAGCAGTCACAAGATTGTTTTTGATTTTCATCTATTAATAGATCTTAAAGGGATTGTATCTTTTTAAGTTTACGTAAACAGTGATACCATCAATTCGAAACACAAGACAAGACATCTGTCTGAAAATTAGAATGGTGCATATAGAAACCATAAAAGACCCAGATACATAAAAAAAAAAAGCTAGAAAACTTCTTTTATAAGCTTTTTTATGATGTATCTATAGTAAAAACCTGGAGATCTTATTACCAGGGTTTGCAATAGTGACATCATATACTGTTAAACATTTCTATAATTGTATGAACTACAGACAACTATAGATAAGTATGATATCTTCAGTGTATTTTCCCATCCAACTGACTAGATGCCTTTGTGAATTAGATATTTGATATATGTTGTATGTTACACACAGAACTAACTTTATTGTCTCATCAAAACAACTGGATATGTTTTTGATTTAGGCCCTCTGCCAATAATATAGCTGTATAGAATGATTAGATACTTTGTTTTTATCAGCCTTTACCACCATAAAAAATAGATCTGATATGTGTGGTAGTTTATTGAAAGATAACAGGCTGTAGCCCACAGGGCTTGGTTTATTGTCCCATCCCATGATATTTGTTCTGATAGCATCGATTTACAGGATGTGTAGGTCTTGCAATTCCACTAAAACTACCGCGGTAAGCATAAAAGGACAGGAATCACAGACATCTGTTGGAAAACATACGATATGTGTGATATTTATCAATAGGTTAAGTATAATATAATGATTGAAAGTTATGATAAAAATAAATGATTTTATGTCACGAACATCAAGGTGATATGGTGACATCTGGTTCTATCAGATCACAAACAAACAATCATATAGTTTACATTCAAATCTCTAATATTACTAGTACTCTCTATAGTTATATATTATATAATCAGTAATAGTATTCACAGCTCACAGTCCAAATTTTAGCCGTCAATACAATTGATATATTGAGCACTATTTTAACAGTGGTATTTCTATATCACTCTACAATTGATGTATTGAGCACCATTTTAACAGTAGTATTTCTATGTCACTCTACAATTGATGTATTGAGCACTATGTTAACAGTGGTATTTCTATATCACTCTACAATTGATGTATTGAGCACCATTTTAACAGTAGTATTTCTATATCACTCTACAATTGATGTATTGAGCACTATTTTAACAGTAGTATTTCTATGTCACTCTACAATTGATGTATTGAGCACTATGTTAACAGTGGTATTTCTATATCATTCTACAATTGATGTATTGAGCACTATTTTTACAGTGGTATTTCTATATTGCTCTACAATTGATGTATTGAGCACTATTTTAACAGTGGTATTTCTATATCATTCTACAATTGATGTATTGAGCACTATTTTAACAGTGGTATTTCTATATCATTCTACAATTGATGTATTGAGCACTATTTTAACAGTGGTATTTCTATATTGCTCTACAATTGATGTATTGAGCACTATTTTAACAGTGGTATTTCTATATCATTCTACAATTGATGTATTGAGCACTATTTTAACAGTGGTATTTGTATATCATTCTACAATTGATGTATTGAGCACTATTTTAACAGTGGTATTTCTATATTGCTCTACAATTGATGTATTGAGCACTATTTTAACAGTGGTATTTCTATATTGCTCTACAATTGATGTATTGAGCACCATTTTAACAGTGGTATTTCTATATCATTCTACAATTGATATATTGAGCACTATTTTAACAGTTGTATTTCTATATCACTCTACAATTGATGTATTGAGCACTATTTTAACAGTGGTATTTCTATATCACTCTACAATTGATGTATTGAGCACTATTTTAACAGTGGTATTTCTATATAGCTCTACAAGTGAGATATTGAGCACTATTTTAACAGTAATATTTCTACATCGCTCTACAATTAATTGATGAGCACTATTTTAACAGTGGTATTTCTATATCATAATGGTATGATACATGTATGCTATGATACATGTATGCTATGATATGTGTATGCTATGATAAGTGTATGCTATGATAAGTGTATGCTATGATACGTGTATGCTGTGATATATGTATGCTATGATACATGTATGCTATGATACGTGTATGCTGTGATACATGTATGCTATGATACATGTATCCTGTGATACATGTATGCTATGATACATGTATGCTATGATACATGTATGCTATGATACGTGTATGCTATGATACATGTATGCTATGATACATGTATCCTATGATACATGTATGCTATGATACGTGTATGCTATGATACGTGTATGCTATGATACGTGTATGCTATGATACGTGTATGCTATGATACCTGTATGCTGTGATACCTGTATGCTGTGATACATGTATGCTATGATACCTGTATGCTATGATACCTGTATGCTATGATACCTGTATGCTATGATACCTGTATCATAGCATGTTGTAATGCAATGTATCCATTCATGAATTCTTTTTGCCAGCACCATTTTAATGGGTGTGTGCAAGTTTGTGTTGGTGTCGTATGTTATCTATGAATATATATATTGTTATATTATAGTTATTTAGAAATCTACAATGAAAAGGTACGAGATTTATTAAAGATACAAACTCCTAGTAGTCAAATTGTACATAGTTTACGTGTTAGAGAACATCCTAAAGATGGACCTTATGTACAAGGTGAGTAATCAAATCAACTTTAAATTTCACTCTTATTAACAGTTGTTTCCCTTGCCTTTAACTTCAGAATTTTTTTAATTCTTTTTGTGCAACTGATCTTTGCTTCTCTTCACTTCACTTCCATTGGATGAATCTTTTTATAACGGAAAGTGTTAGTGTTTATAAATAACTAGTACAATATTTTGATTATATTTTTAAAATTCTCTGTTTATTTCAGATTTATCAAAACATACTGTGATAAGACATGAAGATATACAACAAATGATAGAGAAGGGAAATTTAAACAGGTAATCAACTTGCAATACTATATCAATTAGTATTCTTACTGCTTACATAGTGGCAGTGGAATAACTCAGTCATTAGGGAGTTGTATTGTCTGTCTTCTAGGCGATTAGGTGCCATGGGTTTGAGTCTTCCTCAGGGTAAGAAAAATACTGTGCCAGTGCCTCCACGAGTTGGCCCATTGATGGCTTTCACCCCCTAAATTTTCCAGCCAACCTTTGCCCAGATTTACATAATCACCATAGAGTGACAGTTTATTGTTTGAATAATGAATGGCAATTTTGTTTCAGAACTACAGCGTCTACCTTGATGAATGATGTGAGTAGTAGATCACATGCTATCTATACTATTCTATTTACACAGGTAAGTCATCTCCTCTTCTACCACCAATCTATAATATTAACATTTCTACTATCACTTCCTTCAATGAACCAGTTAAGCCAATTGGCATTTATTTTTTAATAAACTGTAGTTTGTCACATGACAATATGGTGTCTCATAGCAAAACAATGACTCAATCAAAGATTTGTGGCAAATTAAAATAACAGCTCCTATACAATAATGAAGTTAGATGGAAAAGAAACTTTGTCATTAAATCAGTTTTTCACCTAAACAATTGCATTTACGCATCAATGATGCTTTGAGACCAATGTTTAGTTTGTATTTGAATCCCCCAAAAAATTACAATATATCCACAATCATGATGTAGAACTAGTAGTGTATGTTCTATATAATATAATATGTTGATTATAGGCAGGATATATTGATAATATGCCAAGTGAAAAACATAGTAAGATACATCTGGTGGATCTGGCTGGCAGGTAGGTGAATTTCCCTCATTGCACATTGACAGGTTAACAAAAATAGTGAGCAAAAGTGTTATGGTTCACTCAAATATGATCTGAAATTCGCTTTGATTGTATATGAAAGTAGACCCAGTGTTGGATTTACCAACAAGCTTACTTTACGTCCTAAATTCTATATTTGATCTAAAGCAAGTTTTTGGAAAATAGGCGTCTGCCAAGCTAGAAATGTGATATGAAATGTATATGATTTTGTATTGTTATATTCACTATTATAAGTTGTTATTCTATTGTCTGATTGCAGTGAGAGAGCTGATGCTACTGGTGCCAGTGGACTAAGATTAAAGGAGAGTGGAAGTATCAATAAATCATTGGTAACACTGGGCAATGTTATCTCTACACTAGGTATGTTTACAGTATATTTGTGAGTATAATGAACAGTTTTTTTAACCTCAAGTTTACATCTACTTAAGTAAGATGAAGCTGTGAATTAGAAGATATAACCAAGCCACTATTACATTATTATGGTGTCACACATTTTTTACCTAAAGTTGACACGTAGGCGTAAGTAAGATGAAGCTGTGAATAAGAAGATATAACCAAGCCACTATTACATTATTATGGTGTCACACATTTTTTACCTAAAGTTGACACGTAGGCGTAAGTAAGGTGAAGCTGTTTTATATGCCATATCACACAGTATTATTGTGTCTGGGTTTTGCCAACTTGTTTATTGATTTGTCAATAGAGGTCCATGTTACATTTGTTCAGATTTTCTCAAGAGCAAGAAGTGGTGTGCAGTATATTTGCAATTATACAGTATTTCCATTTATTTGATAGATGGAAATTGACGGCTATCTGAGAGATCATTATTATCAATTATCTTACTGAAATATCTTACTCAAAAATATAAGAGAAGGAATACAGATATGACATGTATCCATTTTGAATTAATTTCTAGCTGAAAGTTGTGAGAATGATGGAAAAAGAAGAAATATATTTATACCATACCGAGACTCTGTTTTAACATGGCTACTTAAAGATAGTCTGGGAGGAAACGCTAAAACTATTATGATAGCTAGTAAGTAGAGATATAGATATCAGGACAGGTTTTAATATCAATACATACATCACACGTCTGCCACTGTGAAATTTGGGGCAGTGAAATCTGAGTTTGAAGCTTACTTGCTAACCTTAAGGTTCGGGGTTCAATCCTGACATAGGTCAAGATAATACTTTCTGATTTGAAAACCAATTTGCCTTTGTCTATTGACATTGTGTCAAGTTGTTTTGTTAGGACAATAAACAAATATGTATTGTAAAAAGATCCTGTTACAGTTGGATCTGGCCCAGCTGGATTTTTTGGAAGTTTGTGACATGTTTTAACAGTTTCAGATGAGATTCTGTCGATTAATATTCCAAATACTATTGTCTATCTTTCTAGCAATATCACCAGCTGATGTGAACTATTCTGAAACATTAAGTACATTACGTTATGCCAACCGAGCCAAAAATATTATCAATAGACCTACTATTAATGAAGTAAGTATTACTTTGTTCATTGATTCAAAATATCATATCATTTCCTGGTTACTTTTTAAATACCTAGATAATGCTACCTCTTTAAGACAATGTGCTAGCCTTCACCTCACCGCTATTGAAATTGAAAGTACCCTGGTTCACTTTGTATAATGTTGAATGAGACTGAAAATTAACCAATCAAAACGGCTGTTTTCAAAGGGTAGCACCTACTCATGTATTATTTTTAAGTTTTGCCACGTGCCGTATTAAAAAAACGTGATGTATTTATTAAAACTGGATTGTATTTTAAGGATGCTAATGTTAGATTGATTAGAGAACTAAGAGAAGAGATAGCTAGATTAAAAGCACTATTAGGAAGTGGTCAGGTATGTCTTAAAGAAAATTTCATTAAGAAAGGCTATTCTTAGACTGTTAATAGCATTTGTTTTTCCAATTTATCATACAACAGAAGTGTCCAGATTCATCTCGCCAGTCAACACATAGAACATGTTATGTAATGAGTTGCCATAATTAAATATTTCCCAAGCCTTGATATACCGTATATTTCCGAATATAATGCGCACCCGTGTATAATACGCACCCCTTCCTTTTCCCATTATGGCATTTACAACAATCTTCTGGGATGGGAAGGTCCATGTAAAACATGTTCTGATATTACAGTATTTCTACTACGCTTGAGCATTTGTTTCCACAAGCCAAAACAGTTGACCAAGATACAAGATTAGGAATATGTGGTATAGCTATAAAGTATTATGAAATTTATTTTTCAGGATATGATAACTTCACCAAAAGTACAAGAAAAACTTCATGAGAATGAGGCTAGGGTAAGTTGTTATATTGAAAATGTTAATTTAGCAGTGCATGCTGAAGTAAAAAAGCCATATATTGTTGGTTTGGCAGTAATCAATATTCTTTGGTAATTCTTTTTAATTCAAATCAGAAAAATCTAATTCACTTCTTATCTCCAAGAAAAAAAAAGATACCATCATTTGCTTGGAGACTGACTAAACCAAAGATTAATTAATAAGTTTACACTCTTGTATATTTCAGATAAAAGTATTAACTGAAGAATGGGCTGGTAAATGGAAAGAAACAGCCAACATTTTACAGGTAGGGGTCTATCCACTTTTCACTGAGATTAAGTCTAAGCACCAGTGTTTCATATATCGCTTTTAAATGTCTTAAAGTGGATGAAATAGATCTCAATTAAATCAGATACCTAGCTCTTCATCTTTTGTTACCCTTTTAACACTAATGGCTACTTATCTGTTTCATAATTTCAATATATATACCTAGGTGACCATGTGATCTAACATATTATTGACGTTGTACGCTATTAGTCAGATTACTTTAGTGTTTTTTGAAAGACTGATATGGAAGCTTAGCATAGAAAATAACACTGTTTATTTATATATTTTTATAGGAACAGTCTAACCTAGGGTTACGTAAAGAAGGTGTGGGTATCGTGCTAGATTCTAGTCTACCACATTTAATAGGTATAGATGATGATAGATTGAGTACTGGTGTTATGTTATATCACTTGAAGGTCAGTTTTACTCCCCTCTATTGTTGATACATGTGTCTGATTCTCTGAATATATTTTTTGTTCCTTTGCAATTGATCTAGTTGAGAAAAAAGCATTTTTTATATGGATCCAGATGGTCCTTGGTCAGACCTCTTGTCATTGGAACTGTTCCTGGATTATCTGTACCTATTTACATTTGGGCCTACTGGAATAATGAGATAATTCAGATATCAATATTCGTATTTCTAGGAAGGTGTAACAACACTGGGTATTGCTGATGAGGCAGAAACACCTGATATCAGTAAGTCCTGTCAATTTCAACTATAACTCTATTATGACTGTTCGGATAACAGGCATGTTTTCCTAAGAATAGATTGATGGGCCAGGTTGGTCAGCTGGATATTTTTGACTTATGTTAACATTAAATTTGAGAGAGTGTCGAGTGCATTTAACTTGTCGTCAGCTATCTAGTAATCACGATATCTTTACCCTTTTTACTGTAACAGTAACTGTATTATAGAAAATTACTGTTAATCTGTTGATACAGTTGGACAATGTTCTTAATACCTTATTTGTATTATCAGCAATAACACAGTTTGAAAACAAATCCAAAAAATCCCATTTTCATTTACAAACTTGTTCCAAATCAGATCTACTATATTTCTATTAAAGCACTAAGTGGACCAGGTATACTCAATGATCATTGTATGATAGAATATGAGAATGGTGTAGTCACTTTAATTCCTAAGAATGATGCTGTATGTGCTGTTAATGGTACCAATATCACAGAATCAACCAGACTACAGCAAGGTGCTTGTTTTTTGTTTTTTTATAAATGAAAATTTTGTTTGCAATAATAGTCTCTGCCTATCATTCCAATTAGCCCAGTGGGTCCCTCTTATAAACAGTTTTGCCTTTTTTGTTTGGTATTAAAGTTTAAAATTAATGCTCAATTTTCAAGAAATGACTTATCATAGTATTATCATTATAGGTCTATAGGGTATTAAAGCTTATTAGTTTACCTTTTAGAATGATGCCTTGAATTTCTTAAACATAAAACTACTGTTTGATAGATTTTGAAAACATTGTTTTATATATTTGAAAGTTGAATACTTTGATGTTACAGGAGCTGTTATATTACTAGGAAGAACTAATATGTTTAGGTTTAATAACCCAGCTGAAGCTGCTAAGATGAAAAAGGAGTTTAGCAAGGTAAGAAATCTTTCTTGACCTCTATTGTTGACAGCCATTTCTGTCTGTCTAATGTCATTGCCATAGAAACTTTGCTGACATTCACACAGTCATGTTCTTTTCCCAACTTTACAGCAACTTCCTTGAACAGTAAAAATGCTCAAGGGACTATCAAATTTAAGTTTTTCATCCAATCGTTGTTAACTAAAGTTTCTATTAATAGAAAAATTATTTATTAAGAATTTCTCAATCATGTGACTCTTTGGAATTTGGACTGACAGCTTTTATTGAAGTAAGTTAGTTCCCACCACCCACTTCTTAATCACAGTTAAATATTATCTAATCTATTAATCTTATGATCTAACTATTACATAGGAATGAAAAACCTTAATTTTAATTCAGATATATTGTTGTATTTCAGTCTAGTTCTAATCTTAGTGTATTATCAGAATCTAGAACGTCATTACTGACTCGATCGTTAACTGATATTTATAAATCATCTGATAACTTATACAGATCTGTAGATAATATCTCCTTTATGACACTAGGGTAAGTCTAAAGTTTGGATACCTTTATAACTTTTCCATGCAAATAGTCAAGCCTTTTATAACTCCAATATTGCAAAAGCTTCAATATTTAAAGGCCTTTGTAATATTGACGTCATAAAACACTTAGTTTTAATGGACTTGCAATAACCACAGACTTCTGACTGCAAATTAAAAAGCTTTCAGTGTTCCATATACACATAAAAAGTTGAGAAAACTTTTTCACAATCCTCTTAAGTGAATAAATTGCCACATTTTGAGATTGAATCTTCTTTTATTAAGCTTTATGTTTACAATGATCACAGGTGTTTTTAAAGTTATCGATATCCACTTATTTGTGTCCAGTTATTTGGAGTTGATCAAATGCAATCCAAATAACAAAGCCTGTTGTTGAATAAGAAACTGAAATGTATAGGAACAGTTTCTGACATTTAGGCTGTTGTTGTTATAACACTACAAATAATCTGTTTGTTTTTTTCCTATCAGTGATATTGAGATGACTCATAGAGAAAATGTAGAAAAGCTGGAAATAAAAAGGTATGGAGAGTGTTTTTATATGCTTTCTTTAAAATAGTTTACCGACTATAGTCGATTTTATAACTTTTATTCCCTATGAGTATTTGATAATAAACCGAGATCCTGTATGCTCAAACTGTATGCTAAAGGTTATGGGCTAAAGGCTAAAATCCCTCAACAGTTGGAAATCGAAAAAGAATAGGCTAATGCCACTGTATTGACAGAATTTGTCCACATTACTCTAAACAGGTGAAGAAAAGGTTAAAAGTAGGACGTAAGACTGTTTTTTTAGTTCATTTCTTTTCTGTGCTAGTGACTTAATTTTTAATTGACCGTAATGGCTTATCAGTTTAGTTATTTAATCTATTCAGGAACAATATCGAGCAGTTAGAACAAGCGTATAAAGATGCTGAAATAGAAAGACAATTGAGGTTGGAGGCTATGGAGGAAGAAATACTCTCCAAACAAAGATGTCTGTCTATACTTAGTGAGGAGATAGAATGTTTGAGATTGTCAATAGCTGAGGTTTGTTATATACTGTTTTATTGGGTATCAGTCAGTCATTTAGAGCGTTGAAATTTCTGCGTAACGTCATATATACTGTTAAATATCAGTGAGCAAAGTCATTTAGGGCGCTGAAATTGTTACATGACATCATTTGCTTGGTCATGCAAATAAATGATGGTCATGGGTTCTGATCTTGGTAGGCATGTGAAAGTCTAGTGACCTAGAATAAATCATCTATCTTCATTATTCCAAATGAGCCAGCTGTAAATGGGTACGGATAATTTGGGAAAAATCAATGCCAAGAGGTTTGGTCAAGGTGTAGCTGGTAGATAGGATTCTAAATGAACCAAAGATGTTATCCTTGTAGAATATAGTTGTTTCTTTCTTTGTATGTCCCCAAGCTTTAATTGTTTGAATCACTGCAGCCACTAGCCAAATAATTTTGCCACAAAAGGCCCCCCGAATTTTAACCTGTCTGTTTTATTTGTAGAGTCCACTAGGAGAATATGGACCGAAGACATTACAAGATACCATCATATTCCTAGAGAACCAAGAACAAACTAAGTTAGAGTCGACTCACAGATTGAAGTCAAAATTACAGCAGGTATTATTTAAGCCATTTTCACGGTTTATTTGAGCCTGTAATAGATGTAATGGGTCTTCAGTAGTACAAGAACTGTATGACAATTGCATAATCCCATCAAATATACCTCTTATACATCTCAAATAGAAATTTCACTCTTAATTTTCATCTTCATTGGTTTATTCTTTGCCTGAATATTGTTATGAAACCCGCCTCAATGAAGTTTATATATTTGTTCAGGAATTTTATACCTATAGAGATCAAGGTTTAATATTTTTGTATAATATTTTGACAGGAAATAAAAGAGTTAGAAGATAATTTTAGTGAAGAGAAAGAGAAATACGAAGGAAGATTAAATGATTATGATAAACAAGAGCTGAATAAACAAACAGAAATCAATCAAATTGAAGATGATTATAATTTAAATAAAGATATGAATAATCAACTTAAAGCTCAGGTATTATATAATTGTGAATATAACGCTCACCTTCTTACCCTAGAGAAAATCTGGAATATACTCTGTCATTGTAAATAATAACAAGTTTCTACAGATTTGAAAGGGTCTAGTGCTGTAAACAGGTACAGAAAGTAGGATGAATATCAACATTTCATCATATTTCATTTTGCACCTGTCTCCTCCCAAATTTGAGAGTTATAAATCAGACCACTGACTTTTAGTATGCCGTCTTAAAGTTGATTAGTACCCATGTTTCCGATGGTTTTACTCTCATCTGTGCCGCAATATGCATAATGGGCATTTTTTCATACAAATTGGTTAATTTTCAGGAAATGGAGAGAGTGAGAATCGAGAAACAGAATTTGGAAATTCTAAAACAAACTTTACAAACAGCTAACGAACAATTTCTGATTGAAAATCCAGAATATAAACAAAAATTAGACGCCATTGATGAGAAAGAAAAACAGCTGAAAATGAGAAATTCAGAAGTTGATAAAGAGAATAACACAAAATGGAAAGTTTGGTTGGATGAAATCAACGACGACAATCATCAGCTTGAAGAGGCGTGGAAAGATCTGGAAGAAAATGAAGAACAGTTACGTGAGAAATTGGCGGGAAACATATCAGAAAGTGAAAAACAGACGTTGCTTCTTGAAAAGCAGGAATTAGAAGAGGCTCGCGATCTACTAAAAATTGAAGAAGACAAAATTACGCTGAAAGAAAAAGAAATGTTGGATTTGATGGAGAAGGAAATGGATTCATGGGAACGAAAAAAATTGTCAGAATTCGACGCCGTTTATAAAGAAAGAGCTGCTTTAAAAGATTCCAAATCTCCAGAAATTCTGACATTAGAAAGCGAAATTAAGATTAAGACGAAAATGCTTCAAAAAAGCGAATCGAAAGTGTTGGAATATAATCAAGACAATATGAGGCACGAGAAGCAGTACGCCGAAAGTTCAAGTAACGCTCAAGATGAACTCTCTATGATTAGAGGTGAAAAAGAGAAAGTTATGCGGAGTCTAACACGAGAAGAAGAAGAAACTAATAGAACTATAGCTGATCTTACTGTTAAACTGGATTGTATTGAAGATGATACTCAGGTGGAGTTGAATACTCTACGCGAAGAAAAACAAAGGTGGGTGAATATTATTTGGAGATTTTATTCAGAAACAGCTTTATGAGTTCATGACTCCTTCTTTTAAATAATGCCATTCGTTGTGGTAAACTGATGATGGCTGTTGTAGGATTGCTTATTGGTTTCTGCAGTTGGTCTATGGATCTTGTCTTATGTAATAGATAGCGCTCGGTGAGTGAGTTCTGAAAGGATTCTGTCTGTTACAATTCTAGGCGTCAATCAAATGGTGTAGAACTGGATATGTCACATTCAAAATTGACCCTTCGTTTTGTCGGCCATTTTGAATTCTCTCTACACATGTTTTTCTGAACCTGTACCAATTTGCTTTTCTCGAATTTCGGTTGATTCTATGAATCCCAAGCCATCAAGACAGTAATGAGAGTTTTCTCTGTGATTTATTTAGGCTACTAGAAATAAAGAAAGAGAGAAATGGAACTAGTATGTTAAGCAGTGAAGATATAAGTTATAGTAATACTGGTCTAGAATTACAAGAAGAACAGGTCAAATTACAAACACAAATGGAGGTAGGAAAGTCTTGTTCATCTCCAATATCTATCTAAACTTGAAAAGGGTTATATCTAAAGTAGTTTTTACAGAAACAATTGTTATTATCACTCTCGGACAAACCCTCTCGATAATTCTTAAAAATCGTTCAAGAGATTGTGTTTTTTTTTGCTTATACAGTAGGAACTGTATTAGGATACCACTCAAGGGATTAAGTATTGGGTCAAAATAAACACCAAAACTATTTTGTTTTGATTGCCAATAATTGAATTAATCTTTTGAGGATTAGTAAATTACCAAAAAACATTACTCTCTTTTAATCTCACCTGTATGTGAAACCATGTGACGGACATAACGAAAACTGTTATGATTTCTTAATTAATTCATTTTGCTTTCCTGGAAGTTTTAATATATGGTGGCTGGTCTTGTACCGCTGGTCGCTGGTCTCGTAATGAAAGTGGTTGCTTATCAGTCGTTGATTATATTGTAAATTTGTTGGGGTCGTTCTTGAGAATGCCTCAATCCTTTTCTAACTTTCATTAATTAATGTTACAGGATTTAGAGTCGACTAAACAGTTACTAGATCAAGCTAAACGAGATATTGATAATAAACAGAGACAGTTCAGTGAAGAGCGTGATATGGAATTAGATAGAATCGAGTTTGAAAAACTTAAATTACAGGAAATGGAGAAACAAGACAGGTTAGCTTCAGGCATTTTTTCTTCAAAATATGAGGAAAAGAATAAATCTTGCTTGTCACATCTCCCTTGATTGCCAAAGGGATCATAAGAT